ATGAAGGACAGGAGAGAAAAAAAGCCCCGTGATGAGGGGCGGTGCCTACCGTAGTCCTGCAGGACCTTGCAAGGTGCCTCGACTCGTATTATACTCACCCCCCCGTTGCATCGGGCCCGGCAGCTGCCACCGACCGTTTTTCGAGATTTGACGCTAGTGGTGGAGATGAAGGTAGTGGCTGAGACGACGACAACGTCAAAAGTGGTAGATGTCATTGGGGGGGGAAGGAAACGTCTTGGTGCGGGTCCCGAGAAGGGAGAAAGAAATTCTCTGATTCTGGCGTGCGGGCAAAAACACAACCGTGGATTGGCCGGCGGGAAGCCGACACAGCTGCGAATGGCCTCTCTTTTGTTTTTCTTTTCTTTTTTCGCTTTCCTTCGCTCTGGTTTGTTTCCGGAGCAAACTCTCCGGCGCATACCTGCCACTGAGCTAAGCATTTGCCTGCCGGGCCGCTGCCCATGTGGGGAAAGTGGTTATCCCGGTGCTGTGGTAATGAGATGAGAAGAAGGCAAAAAGAAGAAAAAAAAAGACGTGTGGCTGAGGTTTCCGGGTCGGAACATGCCGCCAAGCCGATGTCGATGGCGGTGTGTGTGTGTGTGTGTGGTTTTCCCAGACAAGAACATCAAATAGTCTACATCATCGCTGCAATCTGGACGGAGGGTGCTGCGGGAGGCGTTTGCCGGTATGTGTTCGGTGGTGGTCTAGATGCAGGGGAGGGGGGAGGGAGAGACATGGTGATGATGCGGCTGCAGGCCTTGAGCGCATCCCGCAAGCCTCAAACACGGCCAAGAGGAGGAGGGAGAAAGACTGCATTGTCTATGCCGCGCGATCCAGAACTAGCTTGTTATTCTCTCTCGTCGCAACGGCTGGCTCGGTAGTTGCACACCCGCTTACGGTGAGTCCCGCACCCCCTCCTCCTCCACCTCTTGCATCATGACTGGCCTATGTACCGTTTTCTTTCTTGTCTTGTTTCTCTTTCAGCAACCTCATCCTCTTCCCCCCCCGATAATTGCATGATGGATGACCGGTGTGATGCCCGCCCAAGCGCCCAATGACGAGTGGCCGCTGCGGTGTGATGACCTTTTGTTACCCAAACGCACCCCCTCCTCGTCATCCTCACCCACCTGACTGCTTGTTGCTGAATCCCCCCCGGCTGGGCGGCTGGGTGGGGCTTGGCTGCCATCACATTACAGCACGTCGCGTCCAGGTCACCGGACCTCGACCCTTGGCCCACTGGTTCGTTGGGATGCGTTATACTTTTTTTCTGCCTCTCACCGACGAGGGAGGTGAGAAATTTTCCAACGACGTCCAGTAAAAGTCCACACCTCTAGCCGGGCTAGCCCCTGCAACACAAAAATGACGGGCGCTTCGGGAAAATGTATGATTCGCTCCTTCCCTTGACCGCTTGGCTACTGGGGGGATCCCGTGACATGGAAAAGAGAGATGGAGAAGCGAAGGGGAGTGAGAATAGGAGTCGAGTCGGATGCGCCTCGGATGCTCGGGACTTGCCAGGAGCCGGAATGCATGAACCATGATTCGCGTGGTTCTGGAAGCTGGCCGGTTCGTTCCGGAACCTTTTCTTCTTCTTTTTATACTTTCGAATCGGCCTGGCCCGGGGGGCCCTCTTGGCGCTACCACAACCCCCGTTATAAGCTTGCATGTATTTGTGTTGGTGTGTTCAAGGGGCGCGCCCATGCATGGGGAGGACCAACAAGAGATCTAGACGTAGGAGTGAGTTGAAGCTTCTGGGCCCGGCTGGGTTAAACATGAAAACTGTCAAACGGGGCATAGGTGGGTTGATGGCCCCTGAACCTCAGACGGATGGGGGACTGTGAAACCTGAAGCCGCCCTCGGTCGAGAACCTTTTCTCCTTTTTTTCCTGTTCTCCATCACAAAATCGCCCATTTCGCTTAAGCTTCCATGCCGGCGACCTTCTCGACCAGCCGCGGCAGCACTTCGGCGGCGTCCTCGGCAAAGAAGAAGTCGTCGGCGCCGAGCCCGCGCCCCGCGTCCGGGTCCGGGTTGACCACGGCTACCACGGCGCCGTGCCGCCTGGCCAGGTCGATGTAGCCGGCGGCCGGGTGGACCGTGGCGGCGGTGCCGACGACGAGCATCAGCTCCACGGGTGGCGGCGGGTCGCCGCCGCCGCCACCGCCGCCGCCGCCGCTACCGCACACAAAGGCATCGGCCTCGGCCAGCACGTCGTCCTCGAGCGGCTCGCCGAACCAGACGACGTCGGGCCGCAGCAGGGCTGCTTTGCCGTCGTCCTTTGCGCACCGCGGGCAGGCCGGCAGGTCCGACGCGGCGACCTGCGGCGCGGGGAGCTTGCCGTCCACGATCCAGTCCGGGTCCGGGTCGGCCGAGGACGGGGCCAGGGCCGGGCAGAGCGGGTCCGAAAAGTTGTCGCGCTCCACGTAGCCGCAGCCGTCGAAGCACTTGAGGTCGAACAGCCGCCCGTGCACCGGCCGCAGCGACGCGGGCGGGTGGCCGGCGCGCTGGGAGAGGCCGTCGACGTTTTGGGTCAGGCACAGGAAGCGGGTCTTGGCCGTCTTGGTTGTGGCGTCGTCGTCGTCGTCGTCGTCCAAGAGCGGCGGCGGCGTCAGGCGCGTCGCCAGGCGGGCGAGGGCGTAGTGGGCGGCGTTGGGCTGGACGCTGAGCGCGCGGTGGCGGCGCCAGGCGTAAAAGAGCCAGACAAGGCCCGGGTTCTCGGCAAAGGCCTCCGGGGTGGCGAGGTCGGTGGAGCGGTGGTTCCGCCACATGCCGCCCTTGCCACGGAACGTCAGCAGGCCCGACGACGCCGAGAGGCCGGCGCCGCAGAGCGCGAGGACGCGGCCCCGGCCCTCGACCACCCTGCCGAGGAGGTCCTGGAACTCCTCGACCGAGGTCCGGGGGCTGCCCGTGGGGGTCTTGCGCGGCATCCAAAAGGCGCGGGTGGAGGCGCTGGGGGACGTGGGTTGTTGAGCGGCCGTTGATAGCCGCTGGACGCTTTTTGGGTGTGGGTTGAGGAAGACGCGGAGAGGTATCCTGGACATGTCCTGGACATGGATTTCAATCAAGTCTCACGTCCAAATGGAGCGTCACCCCAAAACAAACGACTGATTTATAGCTGGGCCAGTAGGCGCTTGGGGCCCACCCATTTGAGTGGTTGGTTGGTGCTGCAAAGTTCCCTATATCGGATCCATGCAGATGCTGCCGCTGCCTAGAGGTCAGGCTGCGTCGACTGCAGAGCCTCCATTGATGTGAGGGGAACCCAAGTGCTGCACCATCACGTGAAGCCCACAGCCCTTGACCTCAGGAAAGCCCGAGGCCACAATGTGTCTGTCTAGGGGTTTGATAGCCCATTGACGTCTTGTATGCCCAAGGAATGACATACGAGCTGTGTCTTGGGTATAGATGGCTGCAAGTTGAAAAGTTGGGGGCGGCCAAGGTGAAAAGAGGGAGGTGCGGTGCGGCTGGCCCGGGCGATATGGATTGCCCCCAGGGATTTCCTTTAGTAAAGTTTCGCCCATCGCTTTTACCATTTGCGTCGAGTTCTTCCAGCGGTTTAGCAAGGAGGAGCAAGGGAAATCGCGCTGGGCTACAAGACTAGCACGCTCTCGATCCCGTCGGCCCTTGGCCACAACCACCGAAACACTCCCGTCACACGCCAGGCTAGAGTTATGCCCAAGGTGACTCAGGACTCAGCTTTAAAAAGAACCCTTTCCTGTTTTTAGCCATCCTCTTGCTACATGCGGCGTGCTCGGGGGCACCCGCTCGTGTCTTTTCGGGTCTCGGGTGAAAGTGTTTTGAGGAGCGGGAGATTCGACGGTAACGGCGCACCTGGCACGGCATGCACGTGTATAACAGCGGCGGCGGGCGATGTGATGAGGTGGCTGGTTTGTCTTGGTTCTCACAGCTGCTTTGGCTCATCTCCCATATCGTCCATGGCTTGAAAGAAGCACATCTGGTGTCAAACTGATGGTGTGGCGACTGTAAAAGAGGCCGACGGCCATCATTCTGAAAAAAGTGCCGTTCATAGGCGCAACGGCCCCTAATGCCCCTCAAATGATCGCATCCGTCTCTTGCTATGCCGCCTGGCCAAGCATGGTCAAGAATCAAGCCTCTCTCGACGCCATGTTTGCACAGCATGATGCCCACGATATCCGCCCTACAAACAGCTATGCCTGCCCCTACGGCCCGTTCCAAGCCACCACTCTGTTTGCTACGCTGACCCCGCCCAGAGGTGCTTATCCTCCAATCTTGTCTGCCGTGCAACAGCGGCGCGCAGCTCAGTCACTGCGGGTGAGCAGACCTGGTCGGGACCAACACCAGTCCACGCCCAGCATACAGAGGTGCACATACTACGCCGGGATTGTGCAAAAGAAAAGAACCAAAAAGCAAAAAAAAAAAGAAAAGAAAAAACTGGCGGCCCGATCCCGTTACACAGCAATACTCCGCACGAGGTCGTGGCCCTGTCCCACGGGTATCCTCGCCGTCCACCAGCCACGCGAGTTGCACCACCCGGCCTACTCCGTACTGGCAAGCTGTTGCCCCCATCCGTGCTTCGTTTGATTCGGACCAGCGGAGAAATTTGCAATAAGGATTTACTACCAAGTATAAGTCAAACTGCCCCTTGGCCTCGTCAGGCCCGGACCCGAGTCTTGTTGGGTCCTTCCCGAGACTTTTTACCAAGCTTGTGCATCCTCGGATCTAGTTGCATAGAATCAACCACGACCACCAACGAAGCAGAGAGAAAAGGACCTTTCGGTGGTGGTGATTAGTGATTAGCGTGAATGGCGTGTCCCGGTTTGCTCAGCTTGTACGACACCAGCCCCTGGCCGAGGCTGGACTAGGGGCCTTGGCCGCGACGCCGGCAAACGCAGGTCCAGAAGCAATACAGGCACTCGGGGCGGCCTGACAGCTGTCCATCTTACACTTCCATCGCGCTCTAGTGGCGGAGGCGTGCAGGGGGGTCACATCGGGACGCTGCAGTCGTCTGATGATCTCGGGAGACGATCCGCAACTGCCCCCCTCTCCTCCCCGCGGCACATTGACGTGGGCCATGGAAAATTCCGCCCGAGGAGATGTGAGAAATTTTTTTGCGTGGTCGGGTTGAAAAAAAAACAAAAAACAAGCTCGTGCTGGATGCGGAGTCGGTCCTCCTGTCTCTGGCTGCCCCATTGCGCTCCCCGATGAGGCCTCGCCGTGTGTCCCCTCGGGATTTCTTGCAAATGAGGCGACTTGTGAACTCCAAGACCTCGAGGAGTGGTGTCTCCGGCCGAGATGGCCTGTTCCAAGTCGAGGGGCACGGCGCTCACGACTCTGCCCTGTCCATCTCACCACTCCCGCCAGCCTGGTCTCAGAGGAACCCTTCCTCGGCCAATTCGTCGGACCGTCCGCTGTCTTGTAGCCAGTGTGACAAAGGGGGGGGGGACCGACCTCTGGCCTGGCCACCCAAATCTGGAGTTGCTTTCTGCCGATCTACGGTGTTGGAGGGAGAAGGAGGAGATAACAGCTGCAGATGTTGCCCCTCGATGATCTCGGGCGCACAGACACGGCATAGCTGCCGTGTTCCTTGGGCACCTAGGCTCAAATGTTGGCTTAAGAGAAAGCCCAGGCCGGGCTCGTCGATGACTGTGCTGATACCACACCAGCGGAGGAGGCGCGTAAGCAACCTGCGATGCGCGAGAGACATGTTTCTAGTCAATCATGGTGGCCGTGTCGCCTTGCCGCTGTGCCACTCGGGAGGCCCCTACCTACCTAGAGATCAGGTGTCTCTCCCATCTCCTTGCGGGGGCCTCGGAACGTGCGAATCGACAACGTGGTGGCCATACGCCTCGATCCCGTTTGCCTTCGTGTTTGCTACGTAGTCTCATCCACAAGACGGCACCGACAGGGACTAGCCCATGTTACGGGGAAATAGATGGGTCTAATTATGGCACAAAGTTGGCATCGGCAGCCACGCCTATCCCGCCCGCCGTTTGTTCTGTCTAATGACGTGACGGGTAGGACCGCTTTGTTTGTTTGTCCCTCATCTCCCCGTCTCCGGCGCCCATCGGCCAAAGCTGAGGCGGGTATCAAATTTCCAACACGGACGCCACCGCGGGTGGCCAAGGCTGCAGCCCGACGGGAGCCCGCATCCTCGTCCCTGGCCTGGCTCCGGCCTCGACGGTCGTCTGGCTGGAAGAATCTCTGCGCCGCCCACAAAGCCACCACTATACCTGAAGTGCCACGGGATTTCCAGGATCGCTGCCTATCCCCGCCACGTCCGGGAGAGGGGTGGAGGGCTGGGTGATATGGGGGGTGGACGGGAAGAGAGCAACGGGCCGACACGGCCAGAGATGGGACAGACCAGACACAACATGCAGCCGGTTGGCTGTCTCCCAGACCTGCGTGGCTGGTACCTCAGGCCCTTGCAGCACGACGCCGAGTGCACAGCATACGCACATGTGGGCTCAGGAGAGAGGCTGCGGTGGAGCACGCAGTGATCTCTGTTGTGGTTTGGGTGCCGTATCATTAAATGGTTAGGCAAACGGGACGTGTATAAAGACCTGGTTGACGTCCTCCCTATCCTCAACCCAAAGTCTGGATGTCAAGGAGCAGGAACTTGCACTCGCCGCAGGTCCCCTTTCTCTGGTCATCTCTCTCTCGCTTCCTCTCCGAGGTCCCTGAGGCAGCTGTCCTATACGACACCTCCTCCATCACACCCACACTCGTTCTTCACATTCGCTTGATCCCCCCTCCCGCCCCCGAGCTCGCACTGAAAACCGTTGCCGAGCAATGCGCGGTCTCACTCGCTTCGCCCTCGTGGGCTTAGGGTAATTAAGCTTTCCTTCTCGCTTTCTCACTGGTTTTGTCTGTCCCTGTCTCGCAGACGGGGACGTCCATGTTTCCCTCTGGCGTCTCTGTCTCTCGGAACCGTCGAGTGGCTTCGAAGGGGGCTCCGGACGACTGTCAATCCCATATTCGGACGTGCGAATCCAGCAAGCTGACTCTATGCCTCCTGCAGCTCGAGCCTGGTCCAGGCTGTGCCGCACGCCCCCAGCTATGGCGGCAAGACTGTGACGGTGACGGTGACGCCCGACTGTCCCACGCCTTCCCTGGCCACCGTGACGGTCTACCCGTCCATGTGCTACACCGGGTCGACCACGGCCACCAGCTCGAGCTCGACTTCGAGGGTGCCGACTGGCCCGTGGAGCTCCAGCTCGGTGCCCACCACCACTTCAACCCCTGGCACCACCACTTACACCTCGAGCACGGAGCCGTGGTCGACGACTAGCCACGCGAGCACTTCGCCGACCCTCACCACCACCAGCGGCAACATCACCTGGACCTACCCCACCTCCTCTGGCTCTTCCAGCTCCGGGACCCTGACCTCCTCCTCCACCAGCCACTCTTCGCTGACGACCAACACGCCCATCACCTCGTCTGGCAGTACCACGGACTCGTCGACCTCGTTCACTTCCAGCACGATCCCCTTCTCGCCGTCCTCGTCCTCCACTGGGACCCCGTCCACCGAGAGCTCGTCCACATACACCAGCACCAAGAGGACCACTGTGACCACCACCGGAACCGTCACGTCGTCGAGCATCCCGCTGACGACGTACAGCCCGACCGTCGTCACCAGCTCCAGCACGTCGTCCAAGTGGACAAACACAACTTCACACTCGACCGGCAGCACCACTAGCACGGGCAGCTCGTCCACTGAAAGCTCGTCCACCGGCAGCACCACGCTCCCCCCGCCCACGTCGAGCTCAGCCACAACTAGCAGCACTGGTAGCAGCAGCAGCTGGCCAACCACCTGGGACACCAACTGGCCCACCACCACTTGGCCGCCGCTCACCACGTCCACCTCGACAGGCAGCTCCAGCTCCAGCACCGGCACGAGCAGCACCACCGAGTCGTGCACCGGCTACGGCTGCACGACCGCCTCCTCGTCGTCCACCGGGTCCACCTCGACCACCGAGTCGTCCAGCACACTCCCCACGTCGCCGTCGAGCTCCACCGGCACGCTGACGTCCTCGAGCACGGGGACCTCGTCGACCGGGACCACGACGGGCAGCACGACCGAGCGGACCACCACCACCCTGACCCGCACCACCGTCACCTCGACGAGCAAGACGACCTCGTCGGCGCCCAGCAGCAGCAGCTCGTCAACCTACGAGACCAGCAGCACCATCCCCACGAGCGGCTCCACCAGCTCCTCCAGCTCGACCGCGACCAACACGCAGACGACGACGTCGGGCACCAGCAGCGTCCCCACCACTTCCTCCCCGACCACCTGGTACCCGTCAACGACCACGACTGGGAGCATCGTGACGTCGTCGCGGTGCAGCAAGTCGCGCAACATCACATCCAGCAGCGGCACCCTGACCTCGTCCACGCTGACGAGCCTGACGACGAGCTCGGGCACCACGACCGAGTCGTCCTCGACGCTCCCGACTTCGGGCAGCACGAGCGGCAGCAGCAGCAGCAGCAGCAGCAGCAGCACCGGTACGGTCCCTTCGACCACCGCCACCGTCCCGCCGACCAGCGGCTCGAGCAGCAGCACCGGCAGCAGCAGCACGGGGACTGTGCCGTCGACCAGCGGTACCAACACTGTGCCTTCCACCAGCAGCACCGCCACCGTGCCCTCCTCCTCCTCCTCCTCCACCGCCACCACCAGCTCCAAGACTTGGGAGTCGTCGTACAGCTACAGCTCGTCGACGCCTCCGACCACGACGCCCAGCACCTTTGTGACTTCGTCGCGGAGCAGCACCCTCCCCTGGTCCACCGACAGCAGCAGCAGCAGCGTCGCCGCCACCACCACCACCACCTCCTTCACGCCCGGCACCACGAGCCACACCACGTACACGACCTTCACGCCCACGACCTTCACTCCGACCACCGGGACGCCCACGACGTCGACTTCGACGCCGCCGACGAGCACGCCGTGGGGATACGGCGACGGCGGCTACGGCGGCTGGTGGGGCGAGAAGGCGCGCCGCAAGAACACGGGCAAGGGCAGGTTCTGGTAGGGGGAAGTAGGAGAGGTAAGCACCACCTAAAACATGTGGTGGCTGTGTCACGAGAACGGGCCGACTAAGGGCAGTAGCGGTTTCGCGTCTTTTTGGTGCGGGTCGGGCCTGGAATACGAGGTGTGTGTTGTACGATTCTCGATTCTCTGGTGGCCGGATTGGGGAGGTCGAGAAGGAACAAGACCGTTACGATTTTGTTTGGTCGCACTGCTCTTTTTGGGGCTTGTCTTCTTTTTCTCTAACACCTTTTTTTTTTCTTCTTCTTCTTCGGACGCTTCGTTCGCCATTATTTCTCGACGGGTTTTCGGCATGTTTGTGCCGGGCAATTCGCCGCTTTCTTGTCGCTCCCTTAATTTTCCATTTCTCCACCATCAAAAAACCCTCCATGAACCAAACACCAGATCTTCCTCTTTCTTGTTGGACGTTAGATAGGGACTTAATGAAGCATGTTGGCTGAAATCGCGCAATTCGATAGGTGAGAATGATTGAGGAATCTGTTGCACAAATTTGTCTGGCCGTGTCCAGAAGCCATATGAAAAAAAAACGAAAAAAAAAAAACAGCCAGTTTTTGTACTTTTATCGGCCGCTTGGAACCCATCTCGCATCTTCCTGGTGGATCTGCGCCCAAGCCGGGGACCTGATTGGCGGCGTCGCGCAAGGGGAAAGAAGTCGAAGCGTTGGATGGCTGGCCTTGCCAAGAACCTTAAACGGCTGCCTGGACGGTAGTACTTTTTGCTTGCGTCCTGCCCACCCCCACAGATCTGTTGAGCTGTCCTTCACACGCTCTGCTGCCTACCTGCCCTTCTGACGAGGCCTTGCCCGTTGGACACAGTCATACCGCCCTCTGCTGGCGTCCGAACTTTTGTAACGGACACCGCCAAACCGCCAACTCCCCGGAGCAGCCGAGAACCCTTGTGAGCCGATCAAAAGGCTTATCGTCCAGAGGAGGGCGCCTGGGGGACCAGGGGGAGAGCCAGCCGCCGCCACTGGGGGAGCCGAGGCCCTGGGCGTGGCAGTCACCTAGCGGTATGCATGCGCCATGCCGCTGCCGCCGCTGCCCCCACTGCTGCCTGCCGTTGCCGCTGCCATGACGGACGGGGCGTCGTCGCCGTCGTCTTCCGTTTCTCCTAGCCGCCGCGGGGATGCCGCGGTCGTGGGGACGGCCGTCCTCCCCGTCCCGTCCACCTCGACCAGGCCGGCCGGCAGCGAGCGTGGCTACAAGCCTGATGCTCCCGGCGGGTCCCGGATCCAGCGCCAGGACTGGTCTCGCCTGCATGTGGACGGCCCTCAGCTCGATGGATGGTGAGTATCTATCCATCTTTCTTCTCCGTCCTTTTCGTGGTTGGCTGTTATCCCACTGGGCCGTGCAACTGACCGGAGCCCTGCCCTGTCCAACAGGTACATCACCAAGATCGTGCTGAGGTCCATCAGCTGCATCCTGATGTTGACCATGATTGCCATGTACCTCGTCATCATAGTCCCGCAGCAGACCCTGATCAGCTACAACATGTACTACAACAGGCTGAATGCCCCTCTCGTCAGCGGAATGCACGCCGTGTTTGGCGTTTTCGTACGTGCTACCCACCCTGCACCCCAAGCCTTCTCCCGTTCCTCTCCCGCCACGTCACAGTGCACTGACATGACCACCCGTCCAGGCCTTTGCCACCCTGTCGTGGGACTTGACCGAGTTTGTCACAATGTGCTGTCGCAGGGGATATGGCATCACACCCAAGGCCCATATCGGCATCGAGCTCACCCTGTTCTTCTGGGGAGCCGGCGCCGTCTCCTTGGTGGCTATACTGGGAGTCGTCCCGGTCTGGTACTCAAGGTACTTCTCACCGCCCAATAGCTTTGGCGTCGAGGAGGTTACCTCGGTCGCCGTCATCGGGGGCATTATCGTGTGAGTGTCTTGTTCTTCTCTGCCATTCCATCTTTTTCCCTGATACTGCCGTTCCCTCCGCTAACACTGCGCACCCTAGAATCATACGATTTATCCTCTTCGTGAGAAACGCCGTGGATAGATGCGGCGGCAGGGGCCTGACCCCGCGTATCATGTACCTCCAGACCGGAGAGCCGGTTGTGGTGATGCGCAGGCCATACCCGCCACCCCCCACCATGCAGGAGCCCGACATCGAGATGGGCGACCGCACCACGGCCCAACCAGCTGCCGGCGCCGCCACACTCAGCGCAGCATCGACACTTGTGGCCTCGCCGCCCCGGACCTCGTTCTGGGGCGTGATAGGGCGGAAGCTCAAGAGCAACAAAGCGCCACTGGTCGCCCCGACGGTCCCTAGCTCCTCCCCGCAACCGACGAGCCCCGTCGCACCAGAAAGCGCCGTGGCCAGCTCGCCACAGCAGCAACCACAAGAGCAGATACATCAAGAATCAGAACAACCTCAACCCCAGGCCCAGCAGCAGCGACAGCACACACGCAGCCCGCCGACCTCGCCGCAGCAGATCCCGCGCCGAAGGCCAGTGCCGACGCGCGGCGCGGACTCGGAGCGGAGTGAGAGCTACGGCCCCACGCCCGCGTACGAGCCGGACGAGGCGGAGCGGCGGCGGGCGGAGCGGGGCGAGGCCCAGGCGCAGTGGATGACGCTCGAGGACATGGGGGTCCGCGGCCCGGCCTCTGGGAAGAGGCGGGGCGAAGCGGGCGACAACGCGGACCGGCAGGCGGTTGACGGTCGGGGCCTTGAGGACGGCAGGTAGCGGGGGATGAGGTCTCAGTCCCCACGTTGGGCCTTTCCACGACTGTCTCTAAAACTGTTACCTGTTTTTTTTTCGTCACTATTCTTGGTTGCCGGCGTTTGGATCCCATGACACACAGCCCTGAATTCTCTGATTTGCATATATACCCAACACATTTATTGTTTTCTTTCGAGTTGCCTGACAAACAGCGGTGGATATGTATTTTTGGAAAGCAGCCCATTTGCCAGCTATTAGCTTGTACAATACTGAGTCGGGTACCTTGGTTCACAAAAAAAGTCGGCGCGCCTCCCACATTATTCTCGGCTCACGCGCGGGTCAGCTCCTTCACATATCCTAGACTTACAACCTTGGTGCCACAGAACTCGGGGGATACAGGCTGCGGCCCATCCAGTCGCCGGCTCAGGGGCCACCCCTGAGCGTCCTTGGGAATGGAACCATAACATGTTCCACTGTTACACTATCTGGTGCCATGCCTTCCCACTAGCAAAGAAGCCCCTTTTTCTTCGTGTTACCCTACAATGACATCTTCATACCTGGCATTCTCCACCCATTCGCCAAAGGCTATCTGTCCAGGGGCGGCAGGCCTCGTATGTTCTAGGATCCCAGTGACAGTCGCGTCCGACCCTGCGATAAGTCCCCGCCCTCATGGGCTCGACGACTAGGAGCTGGCGATAGATTTCGGCATCACTAGTTCTTCTGCGACCCAGGTAGATAAACTTGCAGTTCCTCGCCGCAGGCTTGTGGTCCACATGGTAGCCGTCGAGCTCCGCATGGAAGCCCTCATGTGTCAATTCACGCCCGCGAGGATTGTCCGCGGGATCTGCCGTGGCTGCCCCATCCGGAGCCGCCAGGCGAGGCTCACCAGGCAATATGATATTGGTGGTGAGAGATGCAGACCTGACCTTAGCAAATAGTGACCTTGGCGATGCCAACTGCATGCTGCACCTCACCGGCTGCGCATTAGGGATGGCCATTTCATCGTATAGAGAGATGGCATCAGGTGATGTGACCTAGGGTTAGCCCCGGCTTTCTGGCCTCTTCTGCTCCCAGTTGCCCGGAGTCCCAAGACCCAAGGCTTAAGTTAAGCGCCATGACACCACAGAGAACAAAACAGATCAAAAGATATGCGCCTTCAAGGTATACAACGTGAAATCAGCATGCTAACAAATCGCCCAAGGGCCGCAAATGTCAAGGGCGGACGGGCAAAGGTATCCATCATCAATCAGGCAGTTAGGATAAACCTAAAAAAGAAATGTCACAAAGTAGACAGTATATACTGTCATGTGGAAGCCTTAGGCATAGATATCAGATGCCTGAGGCATCGGAAGAGCGGTCCCCCTGCCTGGAAGCGTGTGGCGCTTCCAGGCGTCAGGAGGGAAGCTTAGTAAGCAAGGAGGACAGGGAGTCACGTGTATATAAAGGGCAGAGGCCCCTACGGGACCCTGCACTTCAGATCCTTTCCTCCTTGGAGCATATCAACCGGAATAGCCTCACACCGTGCCTATCCCTTCTGCCTGCAACAAGAAAATATTAAAAATAACAAAAAACGAATAAAAGAACATGCCGGTTAAACAACTTCATTGAAGAAGATAGTAGATGCGTGTGCCCGGACTCGAACCGGGAGCCCATCGATGGCAACGATGGATTTTACCCTTAAACCACACACGCTTGTGGGTCTCAACCGCTATGTCGACCATGTCGCCGTGGTGGTCCTTAATGCTCACCCACGTCGCCTGTTTAACAATATCCTCGCGTTGCTGAGTGTAGGCACGCACACGACCCCATTGAACGACACCCGATTTTAACTAGTACCTACCTACCCATATTATAAGTTAAAATTCGGGCTTTTTATATCTTGCAATTCAGGCCCGGTTGGCGGCGACACGCCCGCCACCTGGGAGGCGGATACCTCGGTCACGTGCGGGTGATGAAGAGTGCACCACGACAACCGCTGACCAAACAAACCCCACAACACAACCCCGGAAAAACTTTGGGAGATGACAAAGTCGACACCTTCATGCCCTGAGTCCGTTTGGGAGGATGATGTTGGGGAAGAAACAAGCAAGAGATTGCCCGGAGTTTTGATCCATGTCGAGTTATGCGGTGGAGAGGAAGGAGCAAGGATGGCGAAAGCAGCTGCCCGAAGCGGAACAGTCCGAGCCCAGGGCGGCAGCTCAATTCTGGGGAAAGCACGTCAACCGCGGACAGACTTGACCGCCAGCCTCGGTGTGCAACTCCAACGGGCTGTCTGGAGAGAAACCCCAGCGTGTCCCTTTGGTCACTGGGGCTGGTCTCACCTTGATTGAGCCGGCTAGGTATGGAGGTTACTGCCCACGGCAGCCTGGCAGTTTTCCCGCTGCAGCGCCGACGACCAGACTGGATGAACTCTGCCTCGCCCAATCGCTGCTGCTCGCCGCCCGACTCGGCTCGCGATCGACCCCTCCAGCCAGCGACGCATCCCCTGTCCACGTGTGCTCCCTAATTTTTTGCGGTGCAGCCTTCTCCCCTGGTCAATCCCACCCCCAGCCGAGCGCCGGCCGTGGCATGGGGTTCCTCCAGTTTTCCCTCCAATGCTACCCCGCAAATTCTCCACCGGTTGAATGAACCGTCGGAGGAGCGAGTCGAGAACCTCCTCTTTTCTTGTCCTTTTTATTTTCCCAACCCAGCCCGGTCCAGACCAAAACCTTGCGTGCGGAGGCAACCGCGCCATGTCACTTGACCGTGGCCCCCCCAAGAGGACGATCCATCCGGGCCTGTGACGAAAGAGAAGGAGGAAATACGATGTCAGAGAAGCGGGGAGGAAGGCGGTCGAGGCGGGCGCGCCTGCGTTGCCCGCCCTGCCCGCCCGCTGCTCTGGCTGGCTGATGACCTTTTTTAGCCCACACGCCCGGTTAGTGGTGGCCGAGATGGGCTGGTGGTTATTATTCGTAAAAATATGGGGAACATGCGCTTTCCAGAAAAGCGCCACCGTCGTCCCTTTTTTTCTCGACACATGCGAATGCTGCCGCTTGTTGCTTTTTGCTGCTGCGAGTGCTGCTGCTGCTGACCCCGTTTCTCGCTGCTGCTGTAAATCCCTCTTGCGGTCGCGTCTGACCTCCCCAACCCACCTGTTTCCACTCGACCTGCACACCCAGTCGCTTGGGGGCGAACCCAACCAACCGTCACCGGTCGTCAGTCGCCTGCAGCGCATATCCAACGTCGTCCCGACACGCGGTATGACCACATAGATGGTATTCGGATGAGAGAAGCTCGATATTGGGGCCGCCCAAGACCAACTTCATCCCTACCGACTCGCGATGTTGCTCTTCACCAAGCTCGCTGCACCCAAAGCTCCCAAGCGGCGCTCAAGAGCTGGTGAGCCCGCAGCTCCTGGGCGGGGCCTCTGGGCCATCTAAAAACACTTTACTAACCATGCTGCCGGGACTGCTCGAACCACAACGTATGCAGGCTGTACCTCGTGGTATGTCTCCCTGGGTCTGGCAATCAGATCGCGGCTTCTGGAAACCTGGAAGCGACGCCTCCAAGGCTGCTCTTTGGCGGGACACGGCGAGCGAGAAAGTCCCCCAATCAGCGCGTGTGCGTGATCCGAGTGCACTGCTGACCTTTGTGACGCCCAAACCACAGCAAGGAAAAGGTTGGTCAACATGGGACGGCGAGATTCGTCCCTCAGTACACCGTGGCTACAGCCGTTTATGGGAAAATACAGCTAACCCAGCCACTATTTGGGCGCATCTGCAGAAAAAGAAATGTGACGAGGAACGGCCAAAGTGTGCGCGCTGCGCCGAGCGCGGCGGTGACTGTGTCTACGAGCCCGTTCGCCCCCGCCAGCGCCGGAAGCGCGACTATGTCGTCTCGTCCGCCACGGCATCGACTTCGACGACCGACTCGGGTGGTGGTGGAGTCGACATAGACAGCGCTCACCGCGCCAGGCTCAACGGCGTCCCGACCGACACCTTCCCATGGCCACAGCCGATTCCCGACGACGAGTATGACGACGGCTACGACGACGAGGACGAGATGGCCGGTGCCAATGTTGATGCCAACTACTACCCCAGTGGGCTTAGGCAAAGCTGGGTGCAGCATAGCAATGCGCAGCACAGCAATGCGCACCACTCGTGGAGGCCTGGGGCTCTGGTGTTTGACGAGGGCGGCTCTTCGGACGACGCTTCTGACCTACCCATCTTCTCGCCGCTCGAGGAGGGCTTTGATATCGGGTCACTGGTGCCGCCGCCGATGCGGCACGGCGGCGTCGTGGGCGGGCTGAGGGGCGATATGACCATGTCTCCTGTCATGGATATTGGTGGTGGAGGCAATGCATATGACGACGAGGCCGACGAGGCCGACTTGGTCGTAGGGTCCATTGGGATGGAGCAGCGTGTCGACCGGAGGAGCTCATCCGCATCCACCACGACAACAAGAACAATAAAGTCGGAACCGGCACCAAGTTCGGCCGTCGTCATCGCACCCCACCACCACAGGCAAATGCAGCATCACGAGCGTCAGCACGGAAACTTTTTTGGTGGCCCGATCGACATGGCCGTGGCGGCGGCTGCACTGCCCGTTAGATCACCGTTGTTTGAATTCTGCGCTCCTGCTTTCTCCGAGTTCTCGCAACAGCCGGGCAGGAGGATGCTAGTGGATCACTTCTGCAACGTCCTTTCGCACCTGATTGTCTTCCGCGAGGAGACCGGCAACCCGTTCCAGCAGCTCGTGCTGCCCCTGATGACCTCTGGCACGGCAGGGGCCCTACTTCCGTTCACGGCGGGGGCGTCGTCTCCCGTGGCGGATGCCGTCTACGCGCTGGCCAGCGCGCACTTGGAGCACAGAGGCGTCGACGTCAAGGGAGGCGAGCGTTCGCTTTACTACCATCATCGCGCCATCCAGGGCCTGTCCAAGCTCATCCAGCCCAGCAGCGGCAAGGTTAACAAGAACCAGGTCCTGGCTGCAATCATTCTGTTGGTATACTATGAAGTTGTAAGTATCAATGACTATCGACATCCCGTGATGTTATATCCTTTCTTTTGAACTACACTGACTGTCCTGTCTCACAAAACATCAGCTCGTGCAAAGGAGTCGCACAAACATAATAGAGGGCCACCTCAAAGGTGCTCTCACAGTTATGTGTTCACATCCCGAGCCCTTGGACTCGACAGGAGTCTTCTTGGAGCGCGTGAGTACCATCGCGACCCTTCGACCTCATTTCCCTAGCAGCCTGGTTAGTTGTTTTCCATGTCATGTAGGGATTCTGACATTCTCCCTCCTACAGGCCTTCCGCTTTTACGACGTGATTGCAGCCCTCTCTTTTGGCACTGCTCCACTCTCTACGGCGCCCGCGGCCGGCTGCCTGCTGCCCTTCCCTCCGGTGGGCGCGCCAGCTGCATCACCCCTCAACAATGTCGACACCCTTCTAGGCATGTCAACGACTCTCTGGCCCATAATCCATCGCCTCTCGGGCCTGCTCGCCCTCCGGTCCGATCTCGATGCCGCCCGCGCCGCTGGCCATCCCGCCAAGGTCGCCGTGCTCCGCACCGAGTTTGAGTCCACGGCCTCCGCTGTTGAAGCTGCCCTCCTGGGCTGGAGCCCCTCCCCGCCGGCTGGCTGGATTCTCGACTCTGATTTTGAAGGCGGCGACCCGACCAAGCTTCGCAGGGCCATGTCTCCCACCCCTACAGGCTTTGGAGGTCGCCGGCATGGGAGCCATGAGAGTGCGGGTGGTCTTGGCGACGAGATGGCGGTTGAGGAAGTGGACGGGCCTGATACGGAGAGTGGTGCAGAGAACCACAGTCGCCTCCCGGAAGACTCTAGTCCGGACACTGCACTCGATCAGGAGGCTACATCGCCCAGCAGTGCCGAAACACCGGCATCCACCTCTTCCTCTACATCGTCGTCCTCGTCTTCCTCCTCTTCCACAAGCGACTCGGCCCGCCTGCACTCAATCCTCAACAATGCCCTAGCTTACCGCCACTCGGCGTTGGTGCACCTGTACAGAACCGTGCACTCGCAGCCTGGGCACCACCCCCTGGTGCAGCGACACGCGCGCATGGCCCTCCGCCACTGCGCCGCCACGGTCGAGCACGGCGGGCCCATGGGCGCCCTCCTGTGGCCGCTATTCGCCGCCGCCTGCGAGGCGCGCGAGCCCGAGGACCGGGCCATCGCGGGCCGCGCCTTTGCCGCCATCGACCGCCGCCAGGGCATGACTAACATCGCGCGCGCCTGGGAGATCGTCCAGGAGGTCTGGCGCCGCGCCGACCTGTTCCACGGCGCCGCCGGCGACGGCGACGACGGCGACGGCAGGGGAGGCGATGGCGACGAGGCCGACGAGGGTGCCGACTTTGCGCATGCGGACGGCGACGGCGCGGACTACCCCGGTGGCGGCGGCGGGTTCGGCGGGCGCCGCCACAGCCACGGTCACGGTCACGGTCACGGCGGCGAGGCATCGCGCCGGCCGTCATCGCGCCGCATGTCCGAGTTTGCGTTCCCCGGCGCCCGCAAGAACGCGATGGACATGTGGAGGAGAGTGAGCGAGGACATGGGTGTAAATGTCGTGTTTGGTTGAGGGAGGGGTCTTGTTGGTTGGCGAAGAGGAAATAGGTGTTTGGCAAGCGGGTTTGAGGTTTGATGTGGAAGGCGCAACGGCTTGGGATAAAAGAAAAAATACCTCGTGTCTGTTTGGATCTTTCATTGGCACTCCCATTCTCTTTGATTTAGCGATGTTTGTATGTGGTTTATAAATCAAGTTTCGGTTGTGACGAAAGCAAAAGTGGCCGTCCGAGTCAACTGTCATTCTCCTTTTACTTGATGCCCTGTTTCCGTTTCAGCGTATCCGATTCCTTTGCTGCCAGGCTGTACGTACACATCGTGGTACAGCATTCCCAACCACACCCTCACAGAATGGCCATCCCACCCCCCTAACAAACGTGCTCCACCTTCTGCACCGACCCGTCGCGGGCGCCCAGGTCCGTCTTGAGCACGCGGCCGAACAGCTCGAGCAGGACCTCGAAGCAGACCTTTGTGACGGCCGGGTCGTAGCGGCCCTTGCTCAGCTCGTCGCGGATGAAGGCGTGCTGGGCCCAGGCGAACTCGTAGAAGCTGAAGACGACGCCGGCGTCGCGCAGCTTCGCGCGGATCAGGTCGCGCCCGGCGTCGGGCACGTGTGTGTCCTTGACGCCGAAGATCATGGCCGCCTCGCAGCCGCTGCTGGCCAGCCGCGAGAGCCGGTCCAGCGTGTGGTTGGAGTCGGGCGAGGGCGCCGCGGCCGAGGTGTCGGGCGCCGAGTGCGGGCCGAGGGTGCGCGAGTGCACGTCGGTCGCGAAGTAGTTTACGCAGGCCGAGACGCGGGGGTCGAGCTGGTGGTCCACGCGAGCATTTGTTAGTTTAGTCGTGTTTTGCTCTACTTTCTTTTTGCGCCTGGACTGGGAGGTTGCCGGCGGACTCACGCTAGCTCTCAGCGCCAGATGGCCCCCCAGGCACATGCCCGTGGCCCCGATGCGGCCCGAGCACGTCGGGAGGGAAAGGAGGTAGTCCACCGTCCTGCGGGAGTCCTCGTCATAGGATTCGAGGGTCTGGGGGGCAATGGTTAGCAGCCAAGGATATTCCTTGTGTGTGCGTCGGGGGATCCTGCTCACCTTCTCAACCTTCCACTGGTTCCCCTTATCGGTCCCCGGGACATCGTAGGCGAGGGGCTCCGGCCCCGTAAAGTCATGGTAGCTGCTGGGCGCGGCCACGATGTAGCCCTGGCCGGCGATCTGGCGGGCGAATCGCGCGACGGGGCCGGTCACTGGGCAGTTCGAGGCGCAGAAATCGTCCAATCAGCACCTCAAAATGGGCTCATTGCCTTCTCACGGAGGCTGGTATTTCATCTCTGCAACGGCAGCTCGACGCACCCTGGTAGATCTCGCTGAACAGAGCGACTCCAGGAAAACACCTGCAGGGGTTGATATGCGTTAGCAGTCTGCTTGTCCGGTGGCTACCTAGCTAGGCAAACTAGATATGCAGGGTTACAAAGACGTACGCATTGGGATATTGCGGGATAGTCGGGTGGAAGAGAAAGATTCCTGGTCGACGTCAAGGGGATCGATCAGAACCGTGACATGACCAAGGAATTGCACGCAAAGCAGCCCCGCTCACTCATCGTGGACTCGACGCCATTGACGCTGGTCTTCACGTCGGCGTGACTCTCCTGGATCAACATGGTGCCTGTATTTGATATTTGATGGGTACGCTTCTCTTTCTGTCAAGTAAGTTAACAGGCTTGACTGCCCGGGAGGTGCTCACAATAGGTGCTCACAATCCCCTCACAAGCTCGGATGAGCTTACCTACAGCTCCCACCCGCAGCTCCCGCGCCTGCTCCACCTCGTTGACACCTCCACACCCCATCTTGTCACCCCGCGACTGCCTCCTCATGTTCCTGCATAGATGCTTTTTGTGGCTTTGTGTAGGACCAGATGCAGGTTGCACATTTTATATTGCCTATCTTAACCAATTTCTCTAGCTTGACCTCATAAAACATCGTGCTATATCGCTGCTGCATCCCCAAATCTCGCCCGCATCTCAGCGAAAGCAAATCAAGCATGGGATTGAAGACTACGCTTGGTACCTAGGTCGAACCACCTCTCTCTGCGTCTCGGCACAAAAACGTGCCTGGCCGTGGTGGGGTGGGCTATCTTATCCAGCCCCTGCTTGGCCGCCAACCTGGGCCTCAACCCAAGGCTTGGATTCCGTCAGGCACCAAAGGAGGCGGTGACGAAAGGTGGCGGAGAGCCAGGACAACGCAGGCTGCCCGATGACAAAAAAGTTTCAATGGGGCATTCTCACCCCAGAACACGGATTCTGTTGACGGGGAAGTCGGGTTTTCATCCCCACACAGGAGGTTCAAAGAGCAACCTTTAGAACATTGCAGAAAGAAAGTGACGCTGTTGACATGAAGGCAGCGGCAGGGGCCTGAGACAAGTGTGCTCGGGTCTTCCCTGCTCATCGCCCAGATGGGAAACTCCACAACCCTACCAGGCACACTGGCTGAGAAGCGTGAATGGCGGCAGGTCTTTCGATTCTTCATCATGATGGGACGTCCAGGTGCCCCGCAACCGCTAGGGCTATGGCTCCTTGAACGGTACAATGTCCACATTCGGGAGCATGAGCCTGACGAGCCCAATGGCTCTCGAGTTCTGGAATGTTGCAGGCCGGTGGTTTTGCTGTCCTCGGTTGCTATGTGGAGTTGGGAGAACTTCAAAGAAACATGGACTGGAGTTGCGTGGCAAACTAGCAAATGGCTCCCTCGAAGATTGCCCCTAGCTCCACTGCGAACGCCATACACAAGCGAGCGAGCCTAGGATGGAGAGGAAAAATTCTCAAAGAGCAACATGGATAGTCGCAGGCAGGTTGCTGGGGTTGCCAAACTGCCCGGCTGCAAACAGATCAGAGGGGAAGCATCGCAGGGATCTGATTTTTTGTCCCTCCGTTCCATCTTTTTCGTCATTCTGATGTGGTGTGGATTGCAGAGATTGCGGCGTGCGCATAGTGAAATCGCCCCCATTGGAAGGCTCTGGACGCTGCTGGACGTGGCTAGAAGTGGCTGGAAGTGGCTGGGGCCTGCTGGTTGAGCCTTGTGCCTTGCGTTGTGGGGGCGTGAGCGTCTGGGTCCTAGTGGGAGTCGGCCTAGCGATTTCTGCAAGCTTCCTGCAGCTTCAGTGGTGGTGGGGCGGATTTCCTACCTCTTCTCGAACCTTCTGCCCAAAAGCCTGCCCCGCCAACCACTGCCCCTCCTGCCTTGCCCTCCGGTCTGCATTTAAGAGAACAGCCTCCTCAGCGCTCTTTCAGATCTGCCGTTGAACAAACCAGATCACTTCACTACAACCAATTTTTTCCTTTTCCTCTACGCGCAAGAATACCCATTTCCTTTTCTTGTTACCCGCGATTTCGACACAAAGAACCAACTTCGCATAGCACGTCTCACAGATCACTCTGACAAGATGGCGCCCGCCGTTGGTATCGACCTGGGCACGACCTACTCGTGCGTGGGTATCTTCCGTGATGACCGCATTGAGGTATGTGGAAATTTCTTTCGACGCCTTCAGCCTTGCGAGCCTTGCTACTGGCAGCTGGCATCAAGGGACATCCATGCTGACCATGACTCCGCCTGCTCCAACAGATTATCGCCAACGACCAGGGTAACCGCACAACCCCGTCGTTCGTCGCCTTCACAGATACCGAGCGTCTGATCGGAGATGCCGCCAAGAACCAGGTCGCCATGAACCCCATCAACACTGTCTTCGACGCCAAGCGCCTGATCGGCCGCAAGTTCCAGGACCAGGAGGTCCAGGCCGACATGAAGCACTTCCCCTTCAAGGTCATCGAGCGCGCCGGCAAGCCCGTCGTCGAGGTCGAGTTCAAGGGCGAGCAGAAGCAGTTCACCCCCGAGGAGATCTCGTCTATGATCCTGACCAAGATGCGCGAGACTGCCGAGTCCTACCTTGGTGGCACCGTTAACAACGCTGTCATCACCGTCCCCGCCTACTTCAACGACTCTCAGCGTCAGGCCACCAAGGACGCTGGTCTCATCGCCGGCCTGAACGTCCTGCGTATCATCAACGAGCCTACCGCGGCTGCCATCGCCTACGGTCTTGACAAGAAGGTCGAGGGCGAGCGCAACGTCCTCATCTTCGATCTTGGCGGCGGTACCTTTGATGTGTCGCTCCTGACCATCGAGGAGGGTATCTTTGAGGTCAAGTCGACTGCCGGCGACACCCACCTGGGTGGTGAGGACTTTGACAACCGTCTGGTCACCCACTTTGTCAACGAATTCAAGCGCAAGCATAAGAAGGTACGAACGAGCTTATTTGGATCTTGGGTTGCTTCACTCCTTCCCCTTTTCCACACCTGCCCACCAGGCTTTCCCGCGCAAGGAAAACCTTCAAAAGCACCTCAAGACCAAGAAACATCTCCAGAGAGCTGGGGAACTCGCCGACTAACCTGCAACAGGATCTGCAAAGCAACGCCCGTGCTCTGCGCCGTCTCCGCACGGCTTGCGAGCGTGCCAAGCGCACCTTGTCGTCTTCGGCCCAGACCTCGATCGAGATCGACTCGCTGTTCGAGGGTATCGACTTCTACACCTCCATCACCCGTGCTCGCTTCGAGGAGCTTTGCCAGGACCTTTTCCGGTCGACCCTGCAGCCTGTTGACCGTGTCCTGACCGACGCCAAGGTCGACAAGTCTCAGGTCCACGAGATCGTTCTCGTTGGTGGCTCGACCCGTATCCCCCGTATCCAGAAGCTCATTACCGACTACTTCAACGGCAAGGAGCCCAACAAGTCCATCAACCCCGACGAGGCCGTCGCGTACGGTGCTGCCGTCCAGGCCGCCATTCTCTCTGGTGACACCAGCTCCAAGTCCACCAACGAGATTCTGCTGCTCGATGTTGCGCCCCTGTCTCTCGGTATCGAGACTGCTGGTGGCATGATGACCAAGCTGATCCCCCGCAACACTACCATCCCCACCAAGAAGTCCGAGGTCTTCTCCACCTTTTCCGACAACCAGCCCGGTGTGCTCATCCAGGTCTACGAGGGTGAGCGCCAGCGCACCAAGGACAACAACCTGCTCGGCAAGTTCGAGCTTACCGGCATTCCCCCGGCTCCCCGTGGTGTTCCCCAGATTGAGGTCACCTTCGACCTGGACGCCAACGGCATCATGAACGTCTCTGCTCTCGAGAAGGGCACTGGCAAGACCAACCAGATTGTCATCACCAACGACAAGGGCCGCCTCTCCAAGGAGGATATCGAGCGCATGCTTGCTGAGGCCGAGAAGTTCAAGGAGGAGGACGAGGCTGAGGCCAACCGTGTCTCTGCCAAGAACGGTCTCGAGTCCTACGCCTACTCGCTGCGCAACACCCTCCAGGACCCCAAGGTCGACGAGAAGCTTGACGCTGCCGACAAGGAGAAGCTCAACGCCGAGATCAACAGGGTTGTTGGGTGGCTCGACGAGAGCCAGCAGGCTACCCGTGAGGAGTACGAGGAGCACCAGAAGGAGCTCGAGGCTGTTGCCAACCCCATCATGATGAAGTTCTACGGTGCTGGTGGCGCTCCCGGCGGCGCTCCCGGTGGTGCTCCCGGCGGCTTCCCTGGCGCCGGTGGCCCGGGTGCTGCCCACGATGACGGCCCGACCGTCGAGGAGGTCGACTAAATGCCGCGCGAGCAGTCTTGTTTTTGCTTTTCAGCAGACGAGTTGCAGTGCGCGCTCGTCAAGCACTTGGGAAAGGTGTTTGGTTGGAGGTTTTCGGGTCTCCTTGCATTCATAGGGGCTAGACAGCAGCTTTTGCCATTTCTATTCCTTTCTTTGTAATGACATGACGAATTCACTGGGGAAAAGTTCTCGGCGGTTTTCCACTCGCAGTTTGTACTTTAATTAGGATTCCCAAATGGGCAGAGGCGTTCAACTTACCTGACCTTCCCTCGTGACATTACTTCGCGCACATTCCTGGTCCGCTGACCGTGCTATCCGGGCAGGCAAGCACGTTGCTTTTCCTCTATGTCTGACGGGGCTGGCCTTAGCTAGCAGGAGCCTGGTGATATCTCGACAAACCCTCCGATTCACTCCTCAAGCTAAATGTACTGATCGGGCTCCTTGCATAACATGATAAATAACATGATAAGCCTCCAATACCACAACAACGCGCCTACACCCACAAAACAAGCATCCGACATGCCATTCCTTACCATTCCCGAAAAGACAGGTGGAGAGCTGGAGTCATCCTTTCCTAACACTAACCGCCCAATCTCGGCACACACACGTCGAGCGACACGAATTTTCTCTCTCCAATTTTACTGCAATGGCCAAGCAATTCTTTATGGATCTAACGCTTCATCACCAAGAGGGTGGGATCTTCCACCCCTAGAAATGGGGACGCAGGTGGCAGAAGAGTCGTGGTCAGACATACTCTGCAAGGATCAGGATTCCCCCCGACAGTGGGAGATTGGGAGGACGTCCGAGACTTAATCGAGGCTGACGAGGGCGATTTCGACCCCATGAAAGCCATACTGAGCCTGGACTTCCATCTCAACAGCGACTCCCCATCAGCTGGGGCATTGCTAGGATGGGTGCTGGCGAGATACCGAGAGTACCAGAGGAGGCGGGACAAGAAGAGAACCATCACCGTCTCGGACAGAATCAAGTGGTTTTAGTGGAAGTGGGAGGAGCTCGCCAGTCCCAAATGGGACATCTACATCCTATCGGGAGTTTGAAAGCGAATGACGGAGGTGGGACGTGCTTCTTATCTGCTTGTTTGTCCATGTTTCGTTTCAGGATATCCCCGCTCTACACTCCATGATAGCCCGTTACTTTTCTTCCCTCTTTTGCTAGCAGTTAGAGAGGCAGATGGCATAATGTTTTTTTTTTTTCGAGAGAGGATGTGGAGAGAGCTGAAGACTTTTTTCTCTTCTCGAACGGATAATGGGGCACAGCACATTGAGTCTTTTGGAGGAGTTTGAGAGTGGTTTGCAATGCTTTTGTTTCATTTTTCTCTCGAAATCTTTGCGTCCGGGTTCGGCGAGATCCCGAGAGAACCTCGATAGATTTTAGTAGTAGGAACAGTGGGCATTGTTTCCGGGATAACGTTTTATGCGGGGGTATGTCTCTTGGCACAAATCTAAAATGGGAACGAAGACGCATGACCCTAACAATTCTGGTCCCTGGGGCCTCTAGCGCGATGTCCCCGTTCACAACGACAAGTTTCTCACAAGCCTGGCGGAGCAGTTCTAGCTGCCCTTGCTGAATCGCCTCCCTACTCCAGCTCCGAAGCCTGCCAAAGCCTGGGACAGACCCTGCCGCTGCGGCCGCCGCAGGTCGGAAGGCACCTCTTGGAGCTCTCCATACACGTCTCGCCGCCCCCGAGGCAGGGCTTCGACCCCGGCACGCACTTGTTGCTGACGCACTTCTCAACGCCGTTGCAGAATTTGCCGTCGCTGCACTCGCCGTCGGCCGAGCAGAACCCCGCCGGCCGGTCGGGCAGCCAGATGTCGGCGCCGCCACCGAACTGCCGGACCAGATCGACCACCTCCTTGCGCACCACAAAGCTGCGCTCGCCGTTGGCGTCCAGCTTCAGCGCGCGCGCCACGGCCGCGCGCAGCTTCTTCTCCATCTCGCCCGAGTAGGCCGCGATGGCGGCGCCCTGCCGCTCCTCGACATAGGCGCGCGCCATCAGCTCCAACAGGCCGTCGAGCAGGTCGAAGGGCAGGGTCAGCGCCCCGCCAACGGCCACGTCCAGCACGTGCTGCCGCACCTGTTTCCACACGGCGCCGAGCCCGTCGCCCTGGAGGATGCTGGTCACGGCCTTGACCAGCGACGACGTCCCGCCCAGGATGGCGGTGACGAGGCCGTTGAGAAAGCTGACGCCGCTGATGTTGAACTTGACGTCGGTGCTGGCCAGCTGCGCCGCCACTTTCGTCACGGGCCGGATGGTGAATACGTAGTTGCCCTGCGCGTCGGTCCGCAGCGGCGCGGGCGCCAGCGTGAACAGCACGGCCATCTTGGCCGTCGTGGCCAGCGCGCCCTCCAACTTGAAGCTGTCGGAGCCTATGTTGACGCACTTGCCCAGCACGCGCGCCCCGAACCTCTGCTTGACGTCGACGCGCGCGGCGAACTCGACGGGCAGCTCGGCGACGAAGAGCGCCGGGTCGCCGCCGCCCCCCGAGAAGTCGAGCGACGCGTCGGCGAGGAGCCGGGTCTCGGCGTGCACGTGCTTGATCTCGGCCGTCACGCTGCAGCCGTGGCCCGTGTCGATACCGCGCGGCGTCCCGTCGTCGTAGGCGAACACGAGGCCCCGGGCGTCGACGCGGATGCCGGCCGACGCGAGCGCGGCCCCGGCCTTGAGGCCGACGGCCCGGCAGAGCGCCCGGACGTTGGCGTCGTCCTGGTTGCACTCGAGGAAGCCCATCGCCGGGCCGAGGATGGCGCCCAGGCGCGCGTCGGGCTTGCTGGGCCGGACGGCTACGAGGCCTTGTGTTGCGGCTGCGGCGGGCGTGATGGCTAGGGAGGCCAGGCAGCACGCTGCGGCGAAGAGGCAGGGCTTGAGTGGCATATTTGCTGTTGAGGACAGTTATCTGGGAATATATTCTGGCTTGACTGGATGTGTAGTTTCTGATACTGACAGCAGACCTGGCCCTCATGGTGTTTGTTTTATACCCAACATCACCCGTTCAGATCCCGCGAAGCTATCCCTTTCGAGACTTTGCTCGTTTTCAGCCCGTGTAGGAGCTTTATCGCCGCCGCTGTACAAAGTTGGGCAACTGCCGTTGAGCCTTATATTGCACTTTATCCTTGGCAGCCTGATTGGGTGCCTCCCCGATCTTGCTCGCCTCGCCGCTCAGCCCATGGCCGTAAGCCGGCTTCAGCTCAATTTGCAACTCATTACACCAAGACATTTCTCGGTCTACTCGATACAGTAGCCGCAAGCGATCAGTTGATATGGGAAAAGCCACCCACTATTTGGATAAGGGTCGAGGAAATAGTCCCTTGAGTGTTCGCCATTCACCACAGCTGGCGTACTCGACGCGAGACAGCATCCCGCGTCACTATCGCCACTTCGTCAGTCTCGGTGCAAGTCTCCCCGAGATTGCGTAGCATCCAGAAGACGACCTGGTGGTTGTGTTGAGCAAGTTCCAAGTTGACGCAGAGGCTCAAATTCCACCGGGCCAGCCCTTTGCAGCCGGCGTCAGTATCTCACGGCGCAAGCAAACCGGTCGACTCTTTTCCGTTCATGACTGCTCGCCCGAAGAAGACGCTCGTTAATGTTGCATAGCCCGAGTCGTTCCATTTATCAGAAGACCCTACGCCGCAGTGGGTGTGGCGTTGGTAATATAGGGCTCGAACAAGAAGATGTCGCGGGACAAAAGAGCGCACAGAACGGCGGCGAGATTGAGAAAGATTCACATAACAATTCTTCATTTGGACTTCCTGCGGGCCTTTCAACCCCACTGGGTACCTAGAAATCAGCACCTGCTGCCTCTTTTCTTCGTTCCCATGCCTATTGGAGTCTTGTCTCGTGGTGAGTTCTGTATTGCAGCTTGTACGAGACGTTCACCGGGTTGTCGGTCGACTACAGGGGAGCTCAGCCGAGCTTCTGAATCAAATACTTCAGAACTCATTTGATCTTGTAGCTCCTAAGACCATTCCAGGTAAAACGACGCCAATTAATCCCTTTCTTGCTCCGTCGTGCCGTCGCACACGGCGGCGGGCTGGGAGGTTTATGCAGATCGCCGGCACTATCGGATAGCGACTGGTTTTCCACAACAGCAGCCGTGTTTACAGAGCTCTCGTTGGGCTGCAAATTTCTCCTCGGTGGGCTGCCAGATCTCGGGTGCATTCCGTTAATGGGAGCTTGGACGACACCGTAAGTACCGTCTCCTAGAGGAGGCTCCTCTCGCTGCTGGTTTGCGAGCACGGCCGTCGTGTCCCCTGCCTCGCTGGCTTGGGGAGAAAATGTTTCCGCTAAGTAGCCTGCGGGCCGAGGAGGTCTTTTGCCAAGGATGCTCTGGGCAGTGCCAGCGGCGCCAGTTCCGTATCCATGTACAGAGGCACTTATGGCAGGGGAGTTCGGAGTGGTTGGATCTGAAGGGAAGCGTGTTGGCTGAGGGGGCATGGTGGCACGTTGGTGGTGGACGTATCGGGTTGCGATAGCGGGAGTTCCACGTATTTGCGACGGTGCAATACCAGCATGGTGACTTGTACCGAACGTGGGACGCTCTGTTGGTAGAGAGCCCACTGCCCTGCCGCCTGGGTCTGGTGCGACAGTCGAATACGCTTGCCTGCGTGCTCTCGGCGAGGCGTGTGACGGCAAGATCCAAGTTGGCTCGAAGGAAGGCTGCGGCATATCGGGCTGCTCGACGGTTAGGGGCGCTGTGAAATCGCCCGGATTGTTTGGCCGATATGTGTTTGCGTGATCCGGCGCTTGTTTTGCTCCTGATTCTGATCCAATGGTGCTGGACAGTGTCCACTCCCCAGGATAGCGGTCCTGGTGTTCCGTCGTAGCAGCGTCCTCGCCTTGGACCGGTAAGGTCCAGCTCGCTGGGAACACCTCGGGCAGGCTTTGGTACTCAAATTCCTGGGCCATTACCTTGGATCTGGAGGGGTTCTCGTGTATGGGAATCGGTGTAGGCAGGCTGGGCAACAGGACTGTTGGGGAGGTTTCAACGCTTCTGATTTTTGGCTGCCGATTATGTAGAAACAAACGCGGCTGCTACCTGACGTGGCGGCGGCTGAGCTGCAGCTCCTCGAATCACCTCGGGCTGTGCTGGATGCCCATACGCCCGACTATGCCCGTGTAGGCAAGCTCCAGGACGCCCTGGATTCCAAGGTGGCGCTGCCAATCTAAGCCTTCATGCGGGTGTGTGCTTGCTGCAGCGGCTTGGGTTTGCGACACGACGAACCGCATGCAGGGGACAAGAACGAACAAAATATCTAGCCATCCCGGAAAACTCGCTGCGAGGCCAATAATGCACTCACAAAACTATTCACATAGGTAGTTTAGGGCCGCCTTCACTATCAGACGGTGTTAATTCTGGACAATTGGAAGCAGCTCCACAGCGAGAAATGTCAACAGGTACTGGACAACCAGCTCCCCCAGCAGTGGCGGGGGTCCAGCAGGTGCCCCTGAATCGCCCTGCCAGCCCTGCCTTTCCCTTTGGCACGCCATTCTTCGATCCGGATCTGTGAGTTTGAACTGCACAATCACCGTACCAGGAGGCACATAAGTTAGGGAAGTCATCAAGGTGGACATGCGGGCTAACTCAAAAGGAAGTGATGATAAAAATGATGTTAGAGACGCCTTCGAGGACATCGAAACGGGTCACCTTGCGACAACAACCTGTCTCTACTTGTTGCGAGCCCCGCGGGACGGAGAAGGTGAGTTCGGCCATCCAGTCGGGAGGTCTTGTGGGAGGCGATAGTCAGGTGTATCATTGGAGGATGTTTGCCGGCGACATTCTGACTCTGGAGGTCCCCAGGTCTTCAGGAAACCACACTCAACGACGCTGATACCGTCGGCTTGTTTTCTATTCGAGGAAAGGCAGGTCGTCTTTACACCCGTCGGTGCCACCGGGAGGGCCCCACTGACATCTTACTGCTACAGGACAAGGAGTTCCGGGGTGTCGAGCTTTGGTATGATGTAGCCCACACAAGAACAAGGTTGGATTGCACACCCGACTAATGATCAAATATGGGAGCAACGGGACAGTGCCGTCTCACGTGTCGATACGTCTAGAGACCCTCAATCACCACAGGTGCCGGGCGATCGCGCGCGGCTGCGGATAAGCAAGCGAGCTTTCAGGAGCGTCATGTCTGCGTACGAAATGCCCGTGGCTTTTGCCGTCGCCCTTTCCCGGCATTACATGGTCTCCGGGACGGGCTTCCGCGTGCGGTCAGCAGATGTCTGGGACTACTGGTGTGTGCTTCCCGTGAGGGTCTTCATGGGGTGCAGCAGGCAAGCCCAGGAGCATACAAGGAGCACCGCTGGCAGCAACCAGATGGATCCGTTCCATTACATCCACTTGTCCGGGGTCAAGGCCGATATTCGTGGCTCGCACATTGGCCTCTTCGTTCAACACAACACGAAGACGAAGTCCACCTCCGCACTGGTCATCAATCTCCTCGATGGCCGCCTTAGCCATGCTATAGAAGAACCTCTAGCACGAGTCCGAGATGCAATAATCCAGCAAGCGAGTTCTTGTAGGGGCGCAAATCCTCGCTTCGGCCTTTTCATCTACCTCTCCAGCTCTCTGAGATGGTGGGACAACGTCTTGAGCTGCTTCAACCAGCAACTCGTCATGCATGTATGGCACATATCCACACCCTTAGACACTCATGCAAAGTGTATTGTGTATTTTCTGGGCTAGAATATCGACTTACATATCCACGCCACAGGAGAAGCAACTGCAATCGGAAATCGGATACCACACGCCAGCCTTCTCGGGCCGTAGCAAGGACATCAACGCCTCGTTGCACATTATGGCCGCACACCTGCACAGATACAAGACCGAGCTTGACCGCACCGAACTCATTCTCCAAGATGTGCTGTCCTCTAGGTTTGGCACTAGACTGACGACTAGCGATGCCGACACCGACGACAGCAGCGTTGCAGCTGACGTCATGAAAGGCGAACGACTCAAGTCACAGCTCCGGGTGATCCTTAGCTTCACGGATGAAATGGAGAAGAAGATCCAAAACATTCTGAATCTGGTAAGCCTGGGACATGGTCGAAGCTAAACCCAACTCGGTATTGGTGACGCTGACTTATCGTGCCCAGCTTTTCAACCAAATCCAAGTGGCCAACGACAGCACTTTACAAGCCATCCTCAGAGCAGCGCAGGCTGATAACAAGCTCTCCCAGAGGATGGCATTCCAGTCTCACGAGCTCACCATCAGCATGAAGAATGACAGTATTGCCATGAAGACGGTAGGTAGCCGATGCAGACAGGAAGATCACACCAGGAGCTTTGGACACCCGCCGATACTGACCCTTGTCGCTCCTTACCTATGCAGATTGCCATCCTGACAATGATCTTTCTTCCCGCAACTTCGTTCGCTGTATGTAGCCAACCCCTATGTAAAGATGACGGGTGAGGTATAACGCTAACAACAGCAAATAAAAGGCCATCCTGTCCATGCCTTTCTTCAACCAAACAGAGTACATGATGGTGCCGTCGCATTCCTGGATTTGGGGTATCCTAACGCTAGTCTTCACACCTGTCGCCTTTGGGGTGTTTTTTCGCATCACCCAGACTCGTGAAAATACCAATCTCGACACGGCCGACGGCGGAGGCTCGTCAAATGGCTCGGCCGAAGAGCAGGGCACGCCGCAGGGAGGAGCAGGACAATAAGAGCCTACATGTGCCTTACACAAGGTAGCGGAAGTTACTGGGTGTTGTCTTATTGATAGGTACTATTGCAAAGGATGAAGAGATGGGGGGGCCAAGAATAGGGTCTGTTTGATGCTAAAGAGATGAATGTAATCGAGACGTTTCTGAGTACATACACTAACTACCCACGCCATTCTGATGACCGCATTACCTGGTCCCATCCATGTGTGTCTCTTCTCCTCCACTACGAGCTTTGAGAAAGGTGTCCCACGCTGACAATCTAGGCCCGGCTAGCATCGTTCGAAGGAGACCTTGCAGAAAGGCCGTAATTTCGCGTGTGACCCAGGTGAGCGAGGGATCGTCTAGGATTCGAAACTCTTCCGCCTTGCGCATCAGATTGTAGTTCTGAACACCAAGGAGCCGCGTCGACTGCAGGGACGAGATGGTCACGGGCCCGCCGACCTGCGAAGCCCCGAGCACGTCCTGCAGGACCTGCTCGCCCGCCAGGGTCTCGAGCGCCCTCTCGCACAGCAGGACCAACAGCCGCTGCAGCGCCACTTGTTGACGCCACTGCGGCTCGACGCCGGCGATGGCCGCGGCCTGCAGGATGACCACGAAGCCGGCCAGTGGATACTGCAGGAGAGGCTTCCCCTCCGTCCCGAAGCTGCCGCTCAGGAAGGCCGGGTCCACAAAGGCATCGACGAGCACGGAGCCCAGCACACACTCCCGTGCCGGAACCTCACCCTTGCGACAAAAGGACTCAGAGAGCTCATGCACTGTGAGGGCCGTCTTCAGCAGGTCCCGCGCGGTCCACTCGACGGCGGCGCGGAACATACTCTGCTCCCGGGTCGCCGCCGCACCCGTCCCTATGTCGACGGCGGTGGACAACCGGTGGCTGCCGGCACCATCCCCGGCAGACGGCGACGGCGACGCCAACGATGACGCCGCCATCAGCAGCACCGACAGGAACACCTCGGGTAGATGCGCGTCCGAGAACCGGTCTTCGAAGACGACGCGGAGCGTGCGGTCGACGGCGTCGCGGTTGTGCTTATAGCGCACGAGCGGCAGCGCAGCGGCGACGCCGTGCTCGGACGCGCCGCCGCGGGCGAAGAACACGGAGCAGGGCTCACAAACGAGCGCGGGCGGCGCCATCTGGTGCGCCGACGGGGCCACTGCGCGGCACTTGCCTGCCGCTGCGGTCGGCGCTGGCGGCGGCACGGTCAGGACGCCGGCGGTCTCGGGCCAGAGGCCCATGGCCAGGGGGAATGAGAGCCGCACGCAGCTGCCTTGGGACGGGAAGTTGGGCGTCGGGCTGGAGATGGAGGAGCGAGGCGTAAGCTCGCCGCCCGGGACCGGGACCCGGAAGAGCCATGCCATAGTCATGTCGGATGCGTGACAGAGCGGGCAGGTGCCCCTGAAGGAGCCACCCGTGGCGTGGAAGCCACTAGTATACAGCAGACCCAACAGCGAACGGTCGCTGATGTCAGCATTCCAGCTGCCCCAGATCGGCTCGTCCTCATGCTTTTCGGGTAGGTCTTCGTCCCCTTGCCCCTTGGGTAGGGCTTCGTCCCCTTGCCCCTTGGGTAGGGGCTTCTGCCGACGGCTTCCCCAAGACTGCAACATGCGCCGTAACTGACCGACACGATCCGGTGTGCTTGGCGGGGATGCCGCTGCCTCGAGTGTAATGGGTTGTGATCGAGTGGCGACTTCAGTTGGTGATCGAGTGATGACTTCAGTTGGTGAGCTGAGGAAGTCACTGTTACAGACGGGTGTCGCAACGCTGCTCTCAGCAGAGCTAATGAGCATGTTGCGTTCGTTTACTTTGCGAGCCTTCTTATCGACGTCTCGGATGAAGGACTCCATATTGGCGTGGTGCGCCTTCCGCAAGCGAGCACGTAGCGCATCAGGCACAGCAGAGCCTTGGCCGCGACGCACAATATCACCGAGCTCGCGGAAAAGCGACTGTGCCTTCCCCTCGCGGTCAGGCCGGGGTTTGAACAGTGGTTCGTCCGGCTCGATGGTCTGCTCCTGAATCCAGGACTGGAAGCGTTCTTGTTGATCTCGCGTTCCCGAGGTCATAATGATGGTGTGGAGGTTGTCATTGTTATCCAAAACGGTCGAGACTTGCTCTGGGCTGAGGCGATTGCCGAATAGGTCTTCCATGCTGATCACCAGCGAGTCTTGCAGTGCAATCTGGTCGGGCCTCAAACGATGCGGCGTTGGGATCTGGACGGCGGCCAAGCTGGCCAGGGACATCTGTGGCAGCGAGTCCCAGCGTGACGAGGCGTCGAAAACGGGATGCGGCATGCCTTTGAGCAGCACATTGAACGCTCCCTTCGTCTGCAGGATGCGCAGGTCCCCGTTGGTCTCGTTGCAGAAAAGAAATGCGCAGTCGGGGGCGACAGCGAACACCGATATTCCCACCGAGATATCGCACGCAGCCGGGCCTTTGCCAGGATCGCCGAAGATCACAACAACGCAGCTGGTGCCGTGGACTCCATTGCTGGCGACGTCCTGGGCAAACTTAACTCTGAGATCCTTGTAAATGAGGCCGTCAGTCATCAGGAACCAGAGTGAGGACTCGCGCAGCACGGCTTTGTGCCTGGGGTCTGCGAGAATGGCCCCCGGATCAGTGCCACCAGCGTCTTCGAGCTGGTCTACCGATGCCAGGTCGAGCGTCGCATAGGCCTTGTCGTCCCAGGGCAGGATTCTCGACAAGGCGCGGGACCGTGGCGACAGCATGTCGGAAACATAGCGGATGAACCTCTTCTCGGCGGCAAGGGCTGGGCCGAACGTGCTCCCCGATACATCCACAGCAAATGCAATGGTGGCATCGCTGAATGGGCTGACCCCCCGCACCCCTTCGTGGGCAGCTGATGCAACTGGCGTGCTCGACATTTGCATGGACTGGCCTTCTGGAGATAGGCGCGGATGAGTGCCCAAAACTGGCGAAGGGATGACAAAATGGAAAGAAGATAACAAAATGGAAACCTAGGAGATGACGGGAGAGATCTTGAATCAAGGAGAGCAAAATCTAGGAAGGCCTTGATATATTGCCAAATGTGCCCAAGGACCGACACCAACGCCCAACGTAAGGCATCCATTACCTGAAGCTGCAGCAAAGCCTTTGGCAAGGCTCTCAGTTCCGCCGGCGTCGGGAGTGTGCCTAGTCGCCTGCCTTTTGGCTCGCCAGGCAGTGCGCCTCCGTCGTTTGATAGGCGCAGAATCGCGGTGACGACCAGGGTACTTAGGGCAGGTACATGGGACGGAGTACGCCTTATCGAAAGCCTACGGGAATATGCATGCTAAGGCACTCTGCCACAGGCCTAAATCTCCAGCCACCACCAGACTACGGCCTCTTAAGCATAGCGGTGGCGGCAGCGAAGCAATAACGAGGGGGAAATGGTCGCTTCTCGTCATCGAAAACAAAAGAAGGCGATACCCGCTAACCACCCCGGACAGCCATAAAAACACCACTTACGTGGTTCACCACCGAGTGGATCACCCACACATGTCCACACGTTAATTGAACTTTAGGTTGTTATATGGGTATGAGGGCGTTGTTGCGGGACTCAAGGCTCATTATTTGAAGCATCGGGCTTGGACAATGCGGCACTGGAGTTGAGGCCAGAAATGCAATGGCATTGAAGCCATTTTGGACTATTACCAGGCACTGCTTCGGGAGTAATGTAATAATACAGCAAAAATATCAGCCTCGAGCCCGCCGAATCAGGTGTGAGGAAACCAACTACCAATACAATTAGCACGAAACGCCCCTGTTCACATTGGCCAGGTGTACTGGCCAGAACAAATCATTATGACCCAGCTTGCTGGCCTTTGTCAACAAAACCCAAGCCCTCGCGGATCTTTCGCCGGCGCTCATTATCAGCGCGGCTCCACTCGATCGAGTCCAGGCCCGCCTCCTGCTCCGCGGTGGGCATGGGCGTGGCGAACTCGGTCCCCGGCTCGACCTTGCGGTCGCGGCTGGCCCAGACGTCCTCGCTGCTGGGCATGCCGGGCCCGTAGCGGGCGAGGTCCTTCTCGCGCCGGCGCTCCCCGTAGGCGGCGGCGCGGAGCTCGGGCGAGTACGACTTGACGCGCATGCAGAACCAAAAGTCGTCCCACTGCTCCGAGCAGTCGCGCAGCCCGCCGTACCGGTACACGGCGTTCCACTGGCCGCCCAGGCCGTTGCAGTGGAAGGCCAGGTCGAACGCCTGCCGGCACGACGTCGGCGGGGGTTCGATGGAAGCTGCCATAGCCTCGGGGCCGCTCATTTCGGAGGCTGTGGTATGCGGTGATGACATTGCCGCCCCCGAGCGGGCGGATGCGTTTGAGGAGGGGGCTGAGGGGTCTTGGCTAGCGGGAGGGTCAGAGCGCAACGAGAACCACGACGAGGAGGGGCCGGCTCGTGGTGCTGGTGCGGGCGCAGGTGTCCGCTGGGGAGCTTGGGCTGGTGCGGCGGACGCGTCCTTGCCGCCGTTGAGCTCGGCCTGGAACTGCGCGAGGAACTTGGCGATCTCCGGGTCCATGGACGAGTCGTCTTGAGCCTGCGACGGCTTGGGAGGGGCATTGGTCTCGCTCCGGGCGCTCGCGGGCGCGGGCTTGCCCTCAGCGGGCGACCTCGGGGGGCTCTGCCAGAACCAGCCCATTGTGTATTCACTGTCTCGTTTGGCTGCCTGTCGTGTCGACGTGGGCTGGCAGTGTCGTGTTCGTAACAAAGGGAGGACAGTCGGCGGAGGAGGAAACGGCGCAAGCTCGGGATGCCGTAGGGACGCTGTCCGAGTCTGTCTAATCCGTCGAACGATACCTTTATCGAAGTGAGGGGTAAACAAGAAGGCCGGTGCTGTATTCAGATTGCGGAGGTGGCACAAACTAGACGTCAGAGCCAGGATCGCATTGGCAGTTTTGTCGAATTTGGTTGGTTGACTTGATCATCGTTTCGCGGATCAAAGGCCCGACGCGTTTCTGGGCGGGGGTGGGCGCTGAAAATCTTCACTTGATAGCCGCACCCACCGCGAATTGGAACCCAACAGCCCAATCCGGCATTCGATTCTTTGCCATTGAATGCCAGCTCTGGGGTCAAACAACATCCTTTTTAAGCTGAGGTCTTTCTTGGAAAGCCCATTACCATCCCTGGCTTTGCCCAAAGTTCGTGGTATTCCATGCTCTTCTCAGTTTCCTGTATTTACACGAGTATAGACCTTGACTTCCATGGGGAGCAAAAGCCGGCCCTTTATCGATAACAGCCCTTCAACTCGATAGGGTTAACTTGCAAGGACAGGGTGCGGGACCAATGACTTGATGACCTCATCGGCACGCCCAGTTAGGCTTTTACACACACCAACACAACAGCCTAGAGATATCTCCACATCATTTCCAGACTTTCCGAAAGTCGGCATGAAGATAGCTAGCCATGATCGGGAGCAGTAGATTGCTCATCGGTCCCGACGCTCGCTCTAGGCTCCTGGCCCAGCGAGCCGTCCTGGCGGGCCCCCTCCGTCGCCATGTCGTTACCCCGCTGGGCATCAGCCCGCCACTGCTGTCCCACCCTAGTAGACGATGGAAGAGCACGCCTATCCAGGATAACATCGGACGCATAACTACGGCCAAAAATGAGTCCATCCTCTTCTTCGACAGCAAGTACACACCAAAACCCTCTGTTGCCCCGCAACGCCCCTTGCTAACGCCAGACAGATATCTTTCCCCTGGGCCTCAGCACTTTCTTCCTTCGCCGCTGGCGGACCGAGGAAGACTTGGCCGAGTTGCTCCGCAAGTTTGACAGCTCATCCCTGGGAATCACCGACCCTATCTCGAATGTGAAACGCGCTATCCCCTCCGATCTGCCCGTCACGGTGACCGAGGTTGTCCCGCGACTCAAAGATGGCGGCGCCTTTGTCAAGGTCAGCCACTCCGGCCCGGGTGGTGGCTCGGAAACAAGGATGACCGCCCGAGAGCTCGAACAGGCCCTTACTAGGCGCTTACTCGAGGCCCCCCTCCGCTCCTGGTTTAACCCCTTCGCTTCGGTCCGCGTCGGCCTCGTAAAGGGTGTCCCGTGGCTCGAGGATCTTTACCGTCCGCCTGCATCACGCGTCAAGGTCGAGTTCTGTCCTCCAAGCCCTGGGGATGCCGCCGTGGAGCTGTCCGAGGAAACGCTATACAATCTATTCAGGCGCTATGGTAAACTTGGGGAGATTATCCCGCAGCCATTTGACTCCAAAGTCATGCCCCGGTACGCATATGTTGACTTCAGCCGAGTCCGCGACGCTGTCATGGCTCGCAACTGCCTCCACGGCTTGTCCGTCAGCGAGTCTATGGGCGGTGGTAAAGGCGGTACCAAACTACGGCTTTCCTACGAATCAAAAGTCAAGCCGCACCACATCTGGAACTGGTTATCTGGCCACCCTCGCATTGTGATCCCCTTGGTGGCCGCACTACTGGCTGCCTTCACCGTCGCCGTCTTCGACCCGATCAGAGAGTTCTTCATTGGTGCACATATTCAAGGGTCCCTCAATATCACAAACAGCCGCCTGTATCGCTGGTTCAAACGCCAAACATTGGACTTCGGTGGTGTTTTCAAGCGCCACAACAATGTCACCGACGAGGCAGGCCTGCAAGCCCTGTGGACCCAACGGAAGGATATCATCGATTCGATCAATACCTGGCTTCTAGAGAGCACAGACACCTTCATCGTAGTTCAGGGACCTCGGGGCTCGGGCACTCGGGAGCTTATCATGGATCAGGCCCTCGGAACTCATAACAAGTCCAACGTACTTGTTCTGGACTGCAAGCCAGTTGTGGAGGCTCGCGGAGAAGCAGCAACGATTCGGCGACTGGCGGCGACTGTTGGTTACAGGCCTGTTTTTTCGTGGGCCAACAACCTTAGCAGTCTTGCCGACCTGGCTGTACAAGGCACCACAGGCGTAAAGTCGGGCTTTTCCGAGACTCTCGAGTCCCAACTCGTCAAAATTCTGCAAACAACCGCGTCGGCCCTCAAGACGGTCTCGCTGCTCGAGCGCCGTAGCGGTGACAAGGACGCCGACATACCAGAGGATGCCTACCTTGAGGCACACCCGGAAAAGCGAGCCATTGTTGTCATCGATAACTTCCTATACCGATCAGAGGATGGGTCCTTGATCTATGACAAAGTTGTTGATTGGGCGGCAGCACTAGTACAGTCGAATATCGCGCACGTCATCTTTTTGACTCACGACCCTTCCTATTCCAAGTCCCTTTCCAGGGCGCTCCCCGATCGAGTTTTCAGGCAGGTGGCCCTGGGAGACCTATCACCAGAGGTTGCCAAAAAGTATGTGCTCAGCCAGCTCGAGGGATTTGACCGCGAGGCCCTATCCGACTTGAAACGACAAAATGGGGGTAAGGAAACAGTGACAGCAGCAAAGGGGGAGTCAGGAAAGGGAACAGGGAACGATTCTGGAAAGACCACAGGCACAGGGAAGGAATCCGGAAAGGCCGAATGGTTCCAATGGAACAATCAACAGACCCCGCGGAAACAGGACGCACCCCAGCCCCCGGTTAAAAGGGATCTCTCCGAACTCGACAGCGTCATCGACACGCTTGGCGGCCGCCTGACGGACTTGGAGTTCCTGGCACGCCGGCTCAAGAGCGGCCAGACCCCCCGGCAGGCTGTGACCGACATCGTGGAGCAGAGTTCGTCCGAGATTATCAAGATGTTCCTTCTCGGCAGGAACTCCACCGCCGCCGCCAAGAGCTGCGCTCCCGCCTCGGAGAAGGCGTGGTCCAACGAGCAGGCCTGGCATCTGATCAGGGAGATCGCCGCGAAGGGCACCCTCCGGTACAACGAGATCCTCCTCTCGCCGACCTTCGCCTCATCCACCACCCCGTCCGCCGCGGACGGCGCCACGGCGGTCGAGGCCCTCGCCTCGGCGGAGCTCATCACCGTCACGTCGGCCCGCGGCCGGCCCCAGGCCGTCAAGGCTGGCAGGCCGGTGTACCAGGCGGCGTTTGCGCTGCTGGCCGAGGACAGGGTCCTCAAGGCCCGCATGGACCTGGCGGTTGCCACGGAGCTGGTCAAGATCGAGACTAAGAAGATCGACAAGGTCGAGGCCGAGATGGCCCTGCTCGCCACACTGCCCAAGCAGCCGGCCGGTGTGGACCGCAGGTTGCAGTACCTCGTCGACAGCCTGGGCGTCAGCCACGGCAAGGTCATGACCCTGGAGGCGGAGATGGAGGGGCTGAAGAAGATTCTGAAGCAGGACGCCTGAAGGGGCTGGGTCTGCTCGGCCCCCCTCGCCAGTAGCTTCCAGAGCTGATGAGACTCGGAGCCATGAGTTGTTTTTGGCAGATCAGTAGATAGAGGTGCCTACCCACACCGACCTCCAGCTTCGATTCCTTGCCAATAAATTTCTCTTTCAATCCTTTTGGCATCTGCGCTCTAACCGTGATACCCTTTTTTAATCTTTTTTATTTTCCTTCGCCCCAGGATCGGCGTTGGAACGAACAGCACCAGAATTAAGCAGAAAAGGGTTACCTCTTCTTGTGGGTGGCGTTGTTTAGCCGGTTTCCCAATTGTGTCCTCTTGGAGTGGCATTTCCCACCTCCGGCACGACAAGAATCCAAACATACCTGACCCCATTTCTGCCCACAGAAAGAGCCATTTGTGACACGTCATATTTTTTGTAAGACAGGCTAAGAATCGAACGAAGCCGTAGAAATGAAAACAAGCAGATGGATGAACTGGGTGGATTCGGTGGGGAGCGTGGGAGCCGAGGGTTTGGCTGACGTCACCCGAACGGTCGAGTAAGATTGACTATGAGAACAACCGATGGTCAGCCAGACGCCCGACAGCAACAGCAGATGTTGGTCATGGAGTAGCAGGCAGGTCTAGAAGAGGCCGTAATTACCACAGCCTTCGCCTACTCAAGCCCACCCATAGGCAATGACCGGGACGCTGTAAGGCAAAAGCTGACATACAGGACAGCGGCCAAGCCGTTCGTGACAAAAACGCAAGGGAACAATGAGGTAAGGACGGGAAACGGGATACTGTGATTCGCCACTGGTACTGGACTGCTGGATGCCTGACGAATATAAGGCCACTATCGCCGACTTATCAGAAACCAATCCAAAAAATTCGAAAGGCTACCCCACCACCAAACACACAGGTCCCCCACCTTCCGCCCACGTCAATAACCTGGAAGGGGTCCATTTGGTCAGCCATTCCTCTTGACTCTGCGGAACTTTTTTTCGTTGACTTTTTTTTCGTTTCTTTTTTTTAATCGGTTTCTTTGTCCTCCCGTCGATACTGTCAAAGACCGACCTAGCACGCTAGTCGATCGGTCCGACAGAGGGAAACTCCCCTTGCAATTACCCCTCCAGTCCCTCGAGAAACACTCGCACAGCAACAATGGTGTCCTCGTCCAAGGAAAAGCGCCTCGCCAAGAAGGCCGTCGAGGGCAAGGAGAAGAAGACGGTTGCGTCCCGCTCCAAGGCCGGATCCAAGGCCGGATCCAAGGCCGGGTCCAAGGTTGCCAGCGCTGCCGGATCCGTCAACGGCGACGAACCCGAGCTCGATGGAAACGGAAACCCCATCACGAGCGACGAGCCCGCCACCGGCGTCGAGAAGGCCGACGAGGTGAAGCGTTTGGCGGACCAGATGGACAAGCACGGCCTGTCCGACCGTGTCACCACCGGTGTCCTTTCTTCCCTGGAGCAAAGCAAGGATGTCAAGATCACCAGTGCCAGTTTGGTGTTCCACGGGCGCGTCCTTATCACGGACACGACCCTGGAGCTTTCCTACGCCCGGAGATATGGCCTACTGGGAGAGAACGGCTGCGGAAAGAGTACCTTTCTCAAGGCCATCGCCGCGCGCGAGTACCCCATCCCCGCACACGTCGACATCTACCTGCTCAACGAGGGCGCTCCTCCCTCAGACCTCGGTGCGCTCGAATGGGTCGTCACCGAGGCTGAGAACGAGCTGAAGCGACTAGACGCCCTGGCCGAGAAGCTGTTGGAGGAGGATGGCCCGGAGAGCCCCGTCCTCATGGACCTCTACGACGTAAGTGAAGTTGGCTACCTAGGCATATCAGCCTCCGCACCGCATATTCCACCATCGCATTTTCTCTTATATCCATTCCAGCGGATCCTTCTAACCCATTTCTTCTCTCCGATAGCACATGGACAAGATGGACCCGTCAACCTTTTCCACCCGCGCCGCCCTCATTCTCACTGGTCTCGGTTTCAACAAGATCACCATCCACAAGAAGACAAAGGACATGTCCGGTGGCTGGAGGATGCGAGTGGCCCTTGCCAAGGCCCTCTTCGTCAGGCCCTCTCTCCTGCTTCTTGACGACCCGACGGCGCACTTGGACCTGGAGGCGTGCGTGTGGCTCGAGGAGTACCTCAAGAAGTGGGATCGGACCCTTGTGCTCGTGTCCCACTCGATGGATTTCCTCAACGGTGTCTGCACCAACATGATCGACATGCGTCTGAAGCAGCTCATCTACTACGGTGGTAACTACGACTCGTACCAAAAGACGCGGTCCGAGCAGGAGACAAACCAGATGAAGGCGTACCACAAGCAGCAGGAGGAGATTGTACACATCAAGAAGTTCATCGCCAGCGCCGGTACATATGCCAACCTGGTCAGGCAGGCCAAGTCGCGGCAAAAGATTCTCGACAAGATGGAGGCCGACGGCTTCATTCAGCCCGTGCACCAGGATAGGGTCTTCACCTTCCGGTTTGCCGATGTCGAGAAGCTGCCTCCTCCAGTCCTTTCGTTCGACAACGTCACCTTCTCTTACTCGGGCGAAGCCAAGGACGACCTGTACCGCAACATGGACCTCGGGTTTGATATGGACTCGAGGACGGCCCTTGTCGGTCCCAACGGTGTGGGCAAGTCGACACTCCTCCGCCTGATGACGGGCAAGCTGTCACCTCGGGAGGGAGTTGTGACGAGGCACACCCACCTGAAGATGGGTTTATACTCACAGCACTCGGCCGAGCAGCTGGACCTGACCAAGTCGGCTCTCGATTTCGTGCGGGACAAGTACTCCGAGAAGTCGCAAGACTACCAGTACTGGAGGCAGCAACTGGGCCGCTACGGTCTGACTGGCGAGTCGCAGACGTCACTGATCGGCACGCTGTCGGACGGTCAGAAGAGCCGAATTGTCTTCGCTCTGCTCGCCATTGAGAGCCCCAACATGTTGCTGCTGGACGAGCCCACCAACGGTCTGGACATTCCTACGATTGACAGCCTGGCAGACGCCATCAACGCCTTTAGTGGCGGCGTTATCGTCGTCAGCCACGACTTTAGGTAAGGGCCACCCATCCCTTTTCCCTGCCACGTTTTGGTGTTTCCCTATGGCAACTTGCTGACCTCTCCATCCTCGCCACCAGGTTGCTCGACAAGATCGCTAAGCAGATTTTGGTCTGCGAGAACAAGACTATCAAGGCTTGGGACGGCTCGATAGGAGATTACAAGAACTACCTGAGGAAGAAGATGATTTCCGCTGGTGCAGTCTAAGTTTCCCTCCTATTTCGCTTGTCATGTCACAAAAGTGCCACAGCTTTACTTTTCATTTCTTGTTCTCTTTGGGTCAGACTGGCATGGATGGCTTGGTTTGCTTTTCTTTTTCCGTCAACGATTTTCTGCGTTACGGACAATGGTTTTTTTTTTTGCCATAGAGCAGGTTGGTAGAATGATGAGAGACGATGCACATCCTGCACGGCCTTGGCACATGCGCACATAGTCCTTGCACGGCTTCGGCTGTATGTATGTATGTACAGTATAGGCAGGTGGCATGCTGGGAAAAGACTAGATGGTTGCTTGGGACCCGAGGCTGCGGGCAGTGAACAAGGTGATTGTACTGGAGCGCTTTGGGCATTGGATATAAATGCGTGGCTTGAGCAATGGGTATCACCATCAGAAAAACTACTAGGCGCATGAAGAGCAGTTTTTGTCCCACAGTGCTGTGCCCAAAACATGGCTCATGGGCGGAGGGACCAAAAACATGTCTGGGGGATGCTCGAATTGGGGTTCAGACGGATGAGACTGCAGGTGCAGGTGCCTCGGTGCGTGTGGGCGCGATGCGGTGTGCACGTCGGGCAAAATGACTGGGATATTGGTTGCAGCGATAGGCGGGATTTGCTTGGTGCTGACGTGGGTGCAAGTTGGAAGTCAACGATGGGCTGGGCTGAGGAGGAGTCAGGTGTCACGTTGGTTCTTGCGAGGGGAGCTGAATGAGTTAAACGCTGGGGGTGTTTGGATACGGCGAATTGGCCAATCCAGCGAAAACGGCAGCATCAGCATCATACCTACCTTGGTAGAGCCCATTCACAAACATTTCAGTTTCTGCTGTCCGTTCACCTGTCCTTGTTTGTTGTTGCCCCGATGCGGAGGGCATGGGCGTGTTGGGATGTGAGAGTGGGGAGGGATCCGGCCATATGTGGGGGCGGAAAGAGGGCACATCATCAAGAGCCACTGCAGGGCCCTCAAGCCCTGGCTGAATCGGGCAATTGGAAAGAAAGGAAAAAACAGCAGGGGCACACGCCAGCTTCAGGTCCCTGCACGGCTGGAAACGAGGCTCATGGAGCGAGGGACGAGAGCTTGTTGTTCTTTGGTTTTTTTTTAGCTTGTGTCGGGGTGTGGCAGAGAACTGGGTAGGGGCCTGGTGGTGACTAACTTGAGGGACCAAGAATGAGGTGCAATCCAGCCGTCGAGAGCACGCGCCTGATCTAATACGGGTTTATCATTGGCCATGGAGGCGGGCGCAGGTTTGATAGGTGCTAGGTGGTGGAGGTACATACACGTGCGGTGTTGTGGGCGCAAGAGGCGGAAAAGGAAAAAAGAAAGGAGAAAGAAAGAGGCGATTCAGCGGGCTGGCCTGGCAGCAGCACAGCAGCAATCATGGAATGGCCAATCTCAACCCTCACAGGCCGGGACGGGCGGACGGGCGGTTCCAGACCCCCTGGCCCCAGCCCTAAAACGAGAGCAGGGGCGTGGCCATATCCCAACGACTTGTCGTTCTCTGGGGCGGGTCCGGTTCTGGGGTGGTGCCGGGTGGGAGGGATGTGTGTGTGTGTGGACTGGATGGATCACCTTCGCGAGAGGTGAGCAGAGAAGGCAGAGACGGACGGCGGCCAAAGGAGGCGGGAATTGGGACAGCGCATGGAAAAAAAGGGCCAAACCAATGCAGACCAGACAGTAGCAACACGGCGAGTGCCTAACCGTGGATCACCTCCCCCAACACCATCCCATCCCTCGACCCCTTCCTCGCCATTTCCTTTTTTTTCTTTCTTTTTTTCGACAGCAAGGTGCTGTATCATCGACCTCACGACCGCCTCGCCAGCTGCTGCGCGCCGCGCCTCACTCTCCACTCGCCGTGACCCAGTTAGTGCCAACACGCCGTACCGTGAATTTCCTCGTTTACTCAGCAGCCAGCGCCCAGCACCTGCGACGGCCACACCTCCCCGTCACCGCCCATCGTGAAGGAGGGAAACAAGAGACACTTGATCCCTTTCGCCATCATCCATCACCCCCCGTCCCCCAGATTGCGTGCGGGTTTAGTCGAGGCAATTTCTCTTGGCATCCCGACGCGACTCCCGCCTGCACCCTCAATGGCAACCTAGCAGAGACGACCACTCCGGGCGGGCCACGAGCAGCAACTTTGATTGCGAATTTTTCCCTCAACTCCCTGCATCGCCGCGGTTTTTCGCTCGACACGTCTTCCCACCTCCCCATCCATCCCCCCATCCCTCCCTCCGTGCCTCCGTCCCTCCCGCCATCACCCGGCCATCTCGGAATCCACGACGACGACACGCGCATCGCACCGCACCACCCCGTGCAGCCGCATCGTACCCGCCACCTCCACCCTGCCCGCGCCAGCTCTCGCACGCGCGCCAGGGCACTCCCGCCACACCCGCGCAAAAGCAAGCCGCCCACGCCCACAAGCCCCAAACCTAAACCGTCCAGAGGGGGTATCAGGATCCGGAATCGTGAATGCACACTGTCGCACCCAGGCGCGGCATCTAGCAGAGGAGCCTGCCGTCAAGGTCGGGGCCGATGCGTCGCAGGTAGAAGTAGTCGCGCCTTGGACACTGAGGACATCGAGCCCAGGGGACACGAGCGTGCCGTGCCAGAACCGCAGATAGACAGACAGGATGGAGTCGAATTTCCGCTCGACGGTGTTGGCCCGGCCGTCTAGCATGTACGAGGATGACGACCTGGACCACAACAGGCGCCGCCGCGACATTCTGAACCCGCCAGCGCCAGGATCGACCAACCAAGCACCGCCTGCTGGCCCACGGCCCCCTTTCAGCCTTCGCTCGCCAACCCAGCCAGAATCCCATCATCCGCATCCGCACCACCACCAGCATCACTATTCCAACTCTCCACCGAGCGCTCACTCCATTCTCAACGGCCAGCACTCGCCGCCGCCGCATCCGCCGCACCACCTCCCCCAGCGCTCGTCCGTCCTCCACAGCCCTTTCGCACAGCCCCCAGGTGGCCCTGCCCTTCCCATGGGCGTCCAGCACCCGCCGCACTCGTCGGGAATATCCTCAGGTCTCCAACCGCCCCAGGCCGTTACTCGCTCGCCGGGTCTGCACGCGCCCCCGGGCTACTATTCGCAGGACGTTCGCGAGCACCCTCCTCCGCCGCCGCCCGCGCCGCGGGAAAAGCCGGCCAAGGGCAGCTTCTACGACCCGACCACGGACACGACCACCACGACGTCGACGGCCCAGGAGCGGAGGACTTCTGACGCTGCGAACTCATGGCACAACGCGACCCAGGTGTCGACGCCCAAGGTGCGTGCAAAGTGAAATTCCAGACATGACAAAAAGAACCCCAACATTCCAGTCCTTGCGCCCTGCCCTACTCTTTTCTCATCCACCCGCCCCGTTCGTCACTGGCTCCCTAGCCTTTCCTACCACGGCCAACTTTATCCCCAATCGTCGTTCTCGCTACTATTACGCCGCCGTGCGCATGAGCCACACTCGATTTTCTTTTTTCTCCTTTTGCACCCCTGCCTAAGCCCAACGCGTGCGCCGTGGCCGAGAAACTTCAAATTTCACTCCATTCCAAACACAATCAATCACATCTCCTTTCAATGCCAGCAGTTCCATCAAATCGCGTCCCCGACCGGGCCCAAAATTGACCACATCGCCATCAAGCAGCATCGCGACCCATACACATATCCCGCCCAGCCTCCCGCAGAACCGAGCCCATACTACAGCAAGGGCAGCAGCTATACGTCACCCGCGCCACCGCCAGCCTACCCCCCGCGAAGCCCTGTGTCACGCTCGCACCCTAATTCGGTCGCTGCTGCTGGGTCCATCAGCCCACCCGGTCGACCGTCCCAGATGGCATCATCAAGCATCCTCAACCCACCCTCGGTCGTCAGCCCGTTACCGTCCATGACGGGCAACGAGTTGCCCGCGGCGAAGGCGTCGGCGTCGACAGGAGTAAGTGACCTCAATGGCAGCACTGTTTCTCTACCAGAAGCGCCTTTCGTCGAGGAATCCATCTGTGAACCCCTACTGACTCCCTGTCCCTCCCAGACCTCAAGTCGCGCTGCAGAGCTTATGTCGTTCTCCAACATTCTATCAAACCCCGAGCCGCCCCAAAAGCCCAGGCCGAGAACCCCTGTCGTCGTCGACGCGCCCGAACGCGAGCCAGAGGTGCCATCCCCCAAGCCCAGGCCGGCCGAGGAGGTATCAAGGGTGCCGACCCCACAGCCTGAAGAGATGGAAGATGTCGCAGACGAAGTCATGGAGGAAGCTACCAAGTCGCCTGATGAACCACTGGACGACGACGAGCCTGAGCCCAGCGAGGAGCCAGAGAAGCCGGCCAAGCGACAGACGCCAACTAAAGCCGTCAAAGTCGAAAAAGCCGACGACACCGAGAAGGCTGAAAAGACCGACAAGGTGGAGAGGCGACCAAGGGCTGAAAAGAAGGAGCGAGTTCTAAAGGCATCCCGGAGGTCAACCGTCACCAAGAGCCGCGTCTCAGACGTCAAAGCGACCGAGCCCACGCCCAAGTCCCGCCGCTCTTCGGCCAAACACGACGCTCCATCCCAGTCACGACTCCCTGCCAAACGCCAAGCCAACGGCCAGGCCAAGCAGAAGGGCTTCGCTGCCGACCAGGAAAAGGCCATCATCTCTCGGATGGAGGAGCTTGACGAGCAAAGCGTTGACGATTCTGACTATGCTGAGGAGAGGGATGCGTACCTGCAGTCGCGCAGAAAACGGCAGCGGCGCATGGAGAACCTCGAGGATGTCTCCCGTGCCCAGCGAAGGCATGAGTACAGCGACATCATGATACGCAGGCTCAGCGTGCATATGACACTCGGCAAGCTTCGCTTCAGCGACGAACACTACGACTCTGCCCTCAAGGAGGTCCGTGACCAGGAGCTGTTCGCCGAGAAAGAGCGGAAGAAGGACATGCAACGGAAGCGCCGGCGCGAGAAGTCGATGGCCGTCACCATCGAACAGAAGGAGGCTGCCCTGGCTAAGGCTCGATCGACCAAGGATGAACAAGAGCGCCAGAAGCTGCTGCGTGAGGCCGAGAGGGCAAACAAGAAGGCCCAGCAGACTAAGCTCATCTTGCAGAAGGGCATCAAGGGGCCTGCGCGCGCGCTCCCATCTCTGGATCTTAACCTCGAGGGCGGCGCCATGGCCACCTTTACTGCCGACAACATGGAGCCCGGTAAGAAGGGCAAGGGCCGTGCAGGGAACCGCCCCAAAAAGTCTAAGGAACAGAAACAGGCAGAGAAGGACTCCGCCGAAGCTGCTCAGGCTGCCCTGGACGCCGGCAAGGAGCTTCCTACCAAGGAGGAGACCACAGCCAAAATCCGCATCAAGGTCAACAAGAAGCCTTCCAAGGAGGAGAGCGAAAAGGACAAAGATAGCGGGGAGCCAGAGGAGCCAAAGGAGTCTGAGGAGCCTAAGGAGAAGGAGCCCAAGAAGAGGAAGGAGAAGGCTGCTGCCGAGGAGCCCAAGGACTGTCTCGAAACCAGATTCCTCTCCAAGGGCTACAACCAGATATACGACCAGATCTGGCGTGACATGGCTCGGAAAGACGTCAGCAAGGTTTTCAAGCTGGCGGTCGACTCCCACTCCAACAAGGCCTCTAACCTGAAGAAGACGGCTATTCTTGCGTCCAAGGAGGCCAAGAGGTGGCAGCTGCGCACCAACAAGGGCACCAAAGATCTCCAGGCCAGGGCCAAGCGCGTGATGCGCGACATGATGGGCTTCTGGAAGCGCAACGAGCGTGAGGAGCGAGATCTCCGCAAGGCCGCCGAGCGTCAGGAGCTTGAGAATGCGCGGAAGGAGGAGGCAGACCGCGAAGCTGCCAGGCAGAAGCGGAAGCTCAACTTCCTCATCTCGCAGACGGAGCTGTACTCCCACTTCATCGGCAAGAAGATCAAGACGGACGAGGTCGAGCGGAGCACGGACCGTCCCGAAGTTGCGGCCGAGGAGAACAAGGACAAGGCGCCCGAGGCAGCCAAGCTCAACGTCCAAGAGCCTACGGGACCTGTTGCGGCCAGGGTTACAAACTTTGAGAACCTCGACTTTGATGCAGAGGACGACGCTACGCTCCAGGCCGCGGCCATAGCCAACGCCCAGAACGCCATTGCCGAGGCCCAGAGGAAGGCACGCAACTTCAACAACGATGACGAGCCAGACGAGGACGGCGAGATGAACTTCCAGAACCCCACCGGTCTCGGAGATGTGGAGATTGAGCAGCCCAAGCTCCTGACGGCGACCCTCAAAGAGTACCAGCTCAAGGGCCTCAACTGGCTTGTGAACCTGTACGAGCAGGGCATCAACGGTATCCTCGCAGACGAGATGGGTCTCGGAAAGACGATCCAGTCCATCTCGGTCATGGCATACCTGGCAGAGCACCACGACATCTGGGGTCCCTTCCTGGTCGTTGCCCCCGCGTCGACGTTGCACAATTGGGAGCAGGAGATCAAGAGGTTTGTTCCTGCGCTCAAGATTGTCCCGTACTGGGGTTCTGCTGGCGACCGAAAGATCCTCCGCAAGTTCTGGGACCGCAAACACTCGACTTACAAGCGGGACGCGCAGTTCCACGTCACCATCACGTCCTACCAGATGGTTGTTTCGGATGTTGCCTACTTCCAGAAGATGAAGTGGCAGTACATGATCCTAGACGAGGCGCAGGCCATCAAAAGCTCTCAGAGCTCGCGGTGGAAATGCCTTCTCAGCTTCCACTGCCGCAACCGGCTGCTTCTGACAGGAACACCCATCCAGAACAACATGCAGGAACTTTGGGCGCTACTGCATTTCATCATGCCATCGCTGTTCGACAGCCACGAGGAGTTCAGCGATTGGTTCTCCAAGGACATCGAGTCTCACGCGCAGAGCAACAGCAAACTGAACGAGGACCAGCTCAAGCGACTGCACATGATCCTGAAGCCTTTCATGCTGCGCCGTGTGAAGAAGCACGTCCAAAAGGAGCTGGGCGACAAGATCGAGCTCGACGTCTTCTGCGACCTGACGTACCGACAGCGCGCCTACTATGCCAACCTGCGCAACCAAATCAGCATCATGGATCTGATCGAGAAGGCTACGATGGGTGACGACAACGATTCTGGCACGCTGATGAACCTGGTCATGCAGTTCCGAAAGGTCTGCAATCACCCCGACCTGTTCGAGCGCGCCGACACCAGCTCTGCTTTCGCCCTGGCTTCGTTCGCCGAGACGGGCTCTTTTGCTCGCGAGGGCAACAACGTGACTGTTGGCTACACCACCAGGAGTATGATCCAGTATGCGCTGCCGAGGCTTGTTTGGCGCGAAGGCGGTCGTCTCAGCAAGGCTGGCAATGACAACATCTCTGCCGGATTCCGGAGCAAATACCTGGGCGAACTGATGAACATTTGGTCATCCGAAAATGTTCGCGAGAGCCTTGGTGGAACCGATTCCTTCTCGTGGCTGAGGTTCGCAGACACCAGTCTGGCAGAGGTTGAGAAGGCTGGCAAGCAGGGTCTGTTCTCTCGGGCCGCGGACCTGGCACGGAAGAAGAACCGGCTGGCGGCCATGAGCGTCGCTTACGACGACGACGAAGAGGACCGCTTCACGCCATCACACGCCCTCTTCCAAATCAAGCAGAGGAGAGACAGGACAGCGCTCGCTAACATCTCGTCGGAAGGCGTCCTGCGGAACCTGATGAACGTCTCGCGCGTCGTGTACGAGAACTCGAGCCTCCCGCGCACGGAGCCGGCTGCCCGACCGGGCGCTTCGGCACCGCCGATCGAGGTTGTCTGCCACAGCAAGGGCGCGCAGTATGAGCGGGACCAGGTTCTGTTCAACGTGCCCATGCGCAAGGCGCTGTTCGGCCCGACGATGGAAGAACAGAAGGATTTTGTGCTGCAGAAGGCGCCGCTCGAGAGGCTGCCGGCGCCTGCGTTGCTCCCTCCGCCCGACAACGAAAAGAAGCGGTTCACCAACGTCAACGTTCCCTCGATGCGTCGCTTTGTCACCGACTCAGGCAAGCTGGCCAAGCTAGACGAGCTGCTCTTCCAACTCAAGGCGGGTGGGCACCGCGTGCTGCTGTACTTCCAGATGACGCGCATGATTGACCTGATGGAGGAGTACCTGACGTACCGCAACTGGAAGTACTGCCGCCTCGATGGCTCCACCAAGCTCGAGGACCGTCGCGACACGGTGCACGACTTCCAGCACAACCCATCCATCTTCATCTTCTTGCTGTCAACTCGTGCTGGTGGTCTGGGAATCAACCTAACTTCGGCAGATACCGTGATCTTCTACGATTCGGACTGGAACCCTACTATCGACTCACAGGCCATGGACCGTGCCCATCGTCTTGGTCAAACCAGGCAGGTCACAGTGTACAGGCTCATCACGAAGGGCACCATCGAGGAGCGTATCCGGAAGCGCGCCATGCAGAAGGAGGAGGTGCAGCGCGTGGTCATCTCGGGTGGCGCTGGTGCTCACTCAGGCGTCGACTTCTCGGGCCGCCGTGCGCCCGAGAACCGCAACCGCGACATCGCAATGTGGCTGGCAGACGACGACCAGGCCGAGCTCATCGAGAGACGCGAGCGCGAGCTTCTGGAGAGCGGCGAGTACGACAAGGCGACCAAGAAGCGCGGCGGCAGCAAGCGCAAGCGAGTCGCCAAGGAAACCGGTGGCGGCGGCGGGGAGGGTGCTGCCAGCCTTGACGACATGTACCACGAGGGTGAGAACAATCTCGACTATACTACTCAAAGCCCACACAGCAGCCAAGAAGACATGTCCACCGCTCAAGCTGAGCTGGTGAGATGGGAGGCGTCAGCAAGGCCGACGCCCTCACGGATAAAGGTGTCTCTGAAGCTTCCTGCCAAGCGTCCAGGTGGGAGCGGCTCTTCAACGACCCCTTCGCCAGCGCGGAAGAAGATCAAGCTGAAGATCAAGGCACCGCGCGCGCAGCACTAACCTCGGCTCTCTGCGCCCCTGGTATATCTGAGCGCCACGTTCCTGCTGGATCTCCTGCATGTGCGGAGGTGCCGGGAAAGTCGCCAAGGCGCGGCTCTCCACTGTCCGGCAAATCACTCTATCATGCGTGTCCCCCCACACGGGTGCGACATTCCAATGAACGAAATCACCCTGTCATAAACATTATACTCACAAACCACTTGACCATGCAGGCGAAGGGCACTTCGACGACGGCAACAAAGCCTCTGGCACGGCAACACCTGTTGTCCAAGAGGCGGACGCTCGACCAGGGAAGAAGAAGCGGGCAGGCGGAAAGAAGGCGAAGACGACTTCGCAGAGACTCGCCATGGCCGACGGCGAGGTTGACGGATAGACGGCGAATCTGTTGGATGATGATGGGCTTACCGACTTGAAGCGATGCTACTAATTCTGATACACGGCTCCCTGGCGCTAGGTCTTGGTCTGACGCAGTCCGGACGGGCGTTGAATGACTTGAAGGACGGGTTCTTTTGTTTTCACTCTTCTGTGTTAATACTGCCATCGCACTTTTCTTTTCCTTGTCTCGTTGCTCTCTTTCGCTTTCCTCTTTCTCTTTTCATCCTCTGTTTTACTTTTTTTTTTTTAGATTTGTCAGGACGGTATTCCGTCGCCAGGGCAATGTTTCACCCCGGCGCCGATGGCACTCGACTGGCATATAACCGACGGAACTCGGCGCTCAAAAACGGCCTGTTGGTGGTAGACAGGGGTTCAACAAACAAGCAAACATACACGTGTACACCTCACGCTTTGGTTATGTGATAGGAGGGAGGCTTTCACGAAATTAGCACAGAGTGTAGTGCTCTTCTCGGGTTCTGTGGAGGCTGTGTGCCAACCGCGTCGATCTGAATGGTTCTTGCATCAATCTTGGAAAGGTTTAGATCTGTCGCAAAACGGCGGGCTATACGTGTCCTTTTTCAAGATCTTATTTCTATTCCTCGTTCTATTCCCATTTCCGTTCCTCGTTTCATTCCTATTTCTACGCAAGCGACTGACGGTCAGCAAGCAGGTTACCGTATTTTTTACCCCCAACCCAGCACCAACGGCCAGGCCGCTGGTGGAGACGGCGACCCGCACTCGTCGGGGAGCGTCTCGTACGTCCCCGAGAATCTCCCCGACGCGGCGCAGAACAGCACCAAGCAAGGTCAGCCGGTGGATCTTCTCCACGGGGTCCCCAGAGATTCTCCTCCGACCCGCTTAGGAATGCCTGCATTGCCCCGTTGCAATATTTTTGCTCCTCACCAAGCCCCTGACTAAAAATCATGGATCGGGGGTGCGGGTGGTGGCCTGCATGGCCTACTTAAGAGGCGGAATGGCCGTCTGTCCAACCCTTGTTCCCCGCAGGAACTCGTTGTCCTCCATCTTGACCTAGGCCCTGGGATCGTTTGCTCGTTTCCCAGCCCTTCCCTGCCCTTCCCTGCCCTGCGCTGCAACTGCCCTTTGCAGCTCCCCAGCAGAGGAAAGAGAAGGCATCGAATCCCACCGTCAAAATGGGCGTCTCCGACAAGAAGAAAGAGAGTGAGCATGCTGCGGGCGCCGAGTTCGCGGCCGTGCTCCCCAGGGATGGGAAGTCGTGGTATCAGACGGCGCATATCATCAAGCTCAACCTCCTGCTGATGATTCCGTTGCTTTCCTCCGCCACTGTTGGATATGATGGTAAGAATGTCTCTTCTCCGTCTTCTCCACAAAGCCAGGTAGCTGTGTTACTGACCATGTTGCCATCTTCCAGGCTCCATGATGAACGGCCTCCAGATCCTCACCTGGTTCAAGCGCGACTTCAACAACCCGGCGGGCGCCGTCCTCGGCCTCATTAACGCCGTCTACCCCCTCGGCAAGGTCATCGCCCTGTTCGCCGTCACGCCCGTCGCGGACCGGTACGGACGCAAGATCCCCATGGCCATCGGGCTCGTGGGCTGCATCGTCTTCGCCATCCTGCAGGGCCTGTCGCCCAACCTGGCGTCCTTTGTCGTCGCGCGCGCCTTCCTGGGCTTCTTCACGTCCTTCATCTCCCAGCCCAGCCCCGTGCTGATCGCCGAGCTGGCCTACCCGACGCAGCGCGGCAAGCTGACGTCGCTCTACAACACCTTCTTCTACTTTGGCGCCATCTTCGCCGCCTGGCTGACCTTTGGCACCTTCAAGATCGACTCGACCTGGAGCTGGAGGATCCCGTCCATCGTCCAGGGCGCCATCCCCGTCCTCCAGCTGGCCACGCTCTGGTTCGTGCCCGAGTCGCCGCGCTACCTCGTGTCCCGCGGCCGCTCCGACGAGGCCCGCCGGGACCTGATCCGGTACCACGCCGGCGGCGACGTCGACTCGCCCCTGGTGGCCTTTGAGATGAGCGAGATCGAGCGCGCCATCGCGGCCGAGAACGAGTCGTACTCGGCCAACTCGTGGCTCGACCTGGTGCGCGGCGCCGCGAACCGCAAGCGCACGCTCATCGCCGTCATCGTCGGCTTCTTCAGCCAGTGGAACGGCGTCGGGGTCGTGTCCTACTACCTGACCCTGGTGCTCAACACCATCGGCATCCGGGACCCCAAGGACCAGACGCTCATCAACGGCATGCTCCAGATCTTCAACTGGCTCATGGCCACCTTCGCCGGCGCCATGATGGTGGACCGCCTCGGCCGCCGCACCCTCTTCCTCATCTCGACGGCCGGCATGCTCGTCAGCTACATCTGCTGGACAGGGCTGACCTCGGGCTTCGTGGCGACCGAGGACGCGCGCATGGGCCGCGCCGTGCTCGCCTTCATCTTCATCTTCTACTTCTTCTACGACATCGCCTGGACCCCGCTGCTGCAGGCCTACCCCGTCGAGATCTACCCCTACACGCTCCGCAGCCGCGGCCTCTCCCTCACCCTCATCACGTCCTTCACCGGCCTCATCGTCGGCAACCAGGTCAACCCCATCGCCATGGGCGCCATCCAGTGGAAGTACTACATCGTCTTTTGCTGCCTGCTGCTCGTGCTGCTGCTGCTCGTCTACTTCCTCTTCCCCGAGACCAAGGGCCGCACGCTCGAGGAGATCCGCGAGGTCTTCGAGGGCCCCGCGACCCCGACCGCCATGAGCCTCAAGGCCGAGGAGGCCGCCGGCGGACCGGCCTACGGGGACGGCCAGGAGAAGCCGATGCAGTCAAAGCATGTCGAGTCTGCAAAGTGATGCCGTGCGCTGTGTTGCGGTCTGTATAATGGGAGAGAAAGGAAGAAAAAAAAAGAAGAAGAAAAGCTTTACGAGGATCCTGGCGGTGCGGAGGAACACATCCATGATTATCGACACAAAAAAAACGCAGGCTTCCCATGAATCTGGGCTCTGGGGCGCAGTGGGTCAGCTCGGGGAGGCCAGACCCTTGCCCCCTGGTACCTGGTAGAATATCTCCCGGTGACAGCCGCAAGCCCCAAGCCTCGGGCCAATAAATTACCTAATGCATCATCTTTACCACTTCCCCGGGATAATTCCGCCATCCGTGCGTGCGGGTAGTCTTTTTATGGGATACTATCCTGGATATGACCAGACCCGGTTGACACGAGCACAAGAGTAGCAGACCCCTACCTCCTGGGTCCATCTGCTACCTACCACAAATGACCAACAGTCAACTTCCTGAGCCTCCGTTGGAGCATCGGCCGCCAAAGGCCTGATTCCTCCCTGGGTTATCCAGGTATCGTCGCAGCAGCAAAAGTAGCATGTTGCCTTGACACTTGACAGTTGGGTGATAGCCTTCATGCGATGTGCCTACAAAGCACCTGCGAGAAGGGGGCGGGCTGGTGGTCGGCCTTACATTCCCTATTCCTGTTGTTATTTTTATTGGCTTCCTACTGTTATTTCTGCTTTATTCCTATTCTTTTTGTTGTGGTTGGCGGGCGCAGGTGCAATAGTAAGCAACTGCCTGTTAAGCCATCATGCACGGCGACAGCCGTGCCCACCAAGAGCAAATCGGCAGCAGAAATCTTTGGCGTTGTAAGTTTTCTATAGCCCTTCTGGGCCCTTGCTCTTCTTTTTGGCAATCACGACTTGTCGCGACTCACAACCTCGCATGAATGAAAGAGAAACCCTTGGGTGGTTCAATACTGGCATTTAGCATCGACGGGGATCAAGAGAGACCGCAAAAGGGGCTCGCTCTCTCCATGTCATCCGTCGGAATAACAAAAAAAAAAGAACAGATGGGGGTATATAAAATGATCAAAAGAAGGAACCCGCTGGGCACTCTGCTTCCACTTGCCCGCGCGGGTTCGGAAGCCGAAGAGAAAATGCCAGTCAAGAGATGAAGTAAAACAAGGGTGCGTTGGAGGAAGGCAGCGAGGGAGAGGTAACACCCGGGCTCAGGTGAGACTTGGGGTGCAGAGGGGGGAGGAGAAGGGAAGACAAGGACAAACCCCACAAGCAAGGCTCAACACCAGCCCCCAAAACACCGCACCAGCACCGATCTTATCCTCAACCGGTTTTGCCTGCTCTTCTAGATCTATCCGGCTCTCGGTATCTCCCTTCGCCAGTCCTTCACCTCCTCCATCGTTTAGCCGTCAACTAGGAGGCTTGAAAGAATAAGAACAGGAATAAGAAAACAAAGCCCAGCTCCGAGCGCGCCGATCCATGGTTATTTTGGGGGAAAAAAAGTGTGTTGTAGTTTTTTGTTTGTCTCCGGTTGCTTTTGTGTAGCCCGATGCGCCACCTTGGAGTCCATTCCACCTCCTCAAATCCCTACTCGTTGGCGTGAGCGACTACCGTCTCGCCGATACGCTCATTGCCAGATGCAGACGTATGTCGGCCGGGCTTCAACGGGTGACGAGGGGCCACAATGCTGCGAGCAATTTAGCCCTTGGCTTCTTTGTTCGTGTGCTCCGCGAAGCCTGACTCGGTCCGAAGAGAAGGGACTGCATTTACCCCTGAACAGAAATCAGACGAAGATAAAAAATAAAAATAAAAGGGGAAACATGGAGCAGAGTGGGAAGAGGGGGGGAAAATAGGGGAAATGTGGCCGAGGTTGGAGACCATGCAACCCAACGAGAGAAAGAAGGACAAAAAAGAACGCGGGACCTGTCTCGCAAAATGCAAGAGTGGCGCCCGACGATCCTTCTCCCGTGTGCTGTTCATCCCTCCATCCATCAGTATGGCAAGAATGCCATATATATCTAAAGCCGAAGCCCCGAGTACAAAAGTGTTGAACATGTGAGAAGAGAATTTGGAAATAATAAACGAGAAATGCGGCTCCTCCACCGTGCCTCGCAAGCCATCGAGGCCCGCGTCTCCTCTCCCCTGCCCACCATCGCTGCAAAAAAGAGCATGGCGGAACATCCTCTTCACCCGTCCACCAACTCCTCCTGCTCCTCGTCCCCTCTGGTAAAAAGAAAAGACATAAAACGTCGTTAGCCTCGTGGGCAAGTCTTGTTTCGCGTGGCTTTTTTTTTTTGCAGAAAATCAGGCTGTTAACGGGCGTGACGCTTTAAAAGTTGCGGGTTGGGAAAATGGCGGCGTCTTTCCCATTCCTTTTCCTATTCCCTTTCGGGTCTTTCTCATTCCTTTTGGGCATTCCAATCCGCTTTAAAACGTTCGTCATCACTCGTTTCGTCTGTTCTGTCGAAGCCTCAAGTCTTGATCGTGACTAAACTCTCAACTACTGCGCGACATGGCTTGTTGGGAGCCTCGGGGTCGAGGCCGCCATGGCAGGAACTGCCTGAGTGTGGCCGTCCATGTCGTGAGGTCAACTGCCTCGTTGCCCAGCCTAGCAGTCCCGGAAGTGTGCGTGGGTGCTGGGCTTGACGACTGCAAGGTCGGTCTCAGGTGTTGCTGGGAACATTGGTGTTTGGCACCGATGGGTACAGGTTCAGAATCTGACCCTGGAGCTGACTGAAACCGCTGAGAGAGCTGCGACTTCTATGTCGCGACCTCGGTTGGCTCAAGCACTTGAACCGATACCTGCGCATGTGGAGGATTATTGGGTAAGCCTCTCTTCTCAATATCCTCGCCTCCCTTTCACAACACTCAAACGCCAGTCTTGAAGATGGGGATAGCCATACGGTGACTGCGGCGGATCTGAAATCCTACGAAGTTGCTGCTTAAGCTGCTCCTCTGGGGACTGGTGATGCGATGTAGCGTTTGACGCCGGCGAGCCAGGCACCGAGGGCGTCCCGGGCATGTGGTGGGATATGGAACCGCGGGATGCGGGGGGCGTCGACGGCACGTGGTGCGTCAGAGGGCTCATCGGGGGAGGCGTCGTCGGGTTCATCGTGAGACCTGGTGTCGTGAATACAACATCGGCCGGGCCGCCAAACGGTCCGACTATTCGAGACTGGTCAGAACAAGCCGAACTGGCCGCCGCGACGCCTGAGGTGCCCTTACCTTGCGATGCGGGACCCATCGGGCCAATGGCGCCAAGCGGGCCCATCGGGCCAATGGAGCCCAGAGGCAAGGGGCCAAACATGTTCATCGACTCCAGCGGGCCCAGAGGGCCGATGAAGGGCTGCCACACAGGGCTGAACTGGGGTCGCATGTGCATGGGTGCTGTCGTGGGAGACACGGCCTCCCACGGGTCCATCAGGCCAAGGGATGACTCGGGGAAGTACGAGGGCGGCGGCGGTGATGCCTCCGGCAGCATGGGGGACGTTGCTGAGAGATCAAGAGACAACGACGAGGGCGACTGCAGCACCGAATCAGGCTGGGGATTCGGGAACCTAAACGTGGTGTTAGGAGAGAGCTCGTCCTCGACGCCGCCGTCGCTGTAGTTCAGGTGACGCGCGGGCTTGCTCAACCCCATGAGGCCACCCCCAAGCGTGAAACTGTTACCGCGTCGATGGACGCTAGCTCGCGCCTTGGAGGTCGACATCATCAGCTGCGACCGCAGGCTGCCTTCGTAGCCATTCGTAAAACCGCCCCAGGTGGCGTAAGGGGTGCGGTACTTGGACGAATCCCTGTTATTCTGGACCTGGAAGTAGGGGTACTTGTGGGAGACGCCTGGGGCTTGCGAGGCTTGCTGTGATGTCTGCTTCTGCGACGTTTGTTGCGGCAACTGTTGCTGAAGTTGCATCTTTTGCTGTTGCTGCTGCACGTACGGGGGAAGTGGCACTTTGGACTGCCGGGGAGCGGGCTGACTGTTCACTCCGATAGTCTTTGCAACACTGCTGTGAGAGGACGCAGGCAGAGAATTCCGTCTCTGGATGACGCCGGCACTTGGCTTGCTCCATGTCCTTGGAGGGGGCGGGCCAAGGGGGGCTCCAACAGCCGGGCGAGCCGTCGGTGGAGTTTGGCTGGGAGGTGAGATTGCAGAAGCTGAAGATGAAGAGGTGAGGAGTGAGAGTGAGGGCTTCTGGGAAGACGAAGGGGTGGCGATGGGCGTGATGGGCGAGGGCGTGACGGCGGCGACCGGGGCAGGGCTGGGGGCGGGTGCAGATGAGGTTTTGAACCGTGAATCGGCTGTCGGGATAGCGGAAGGCTGGGAAGCAGGAAGAGTGGGAGGAGGCATAGCCCCCTTGGGTACAAACGACTGAGGGGCAAAGGAAGAGGTATCATAGGCCGACTTGCGCGGCTTGTACACATACGGCTTCTCCGTCTTGAGAGCGCCGGGCGGTAGTTTGGGCAGCGGGATCGGGGTATATGACCTACGCGGCTCAGCCGATGACGACGGGACAGACGGACGCCGCGCGGGAGGGGGCCGAGGGATCGTATCGAGGAAGTTGCTTTTGGGGTTGTGCCGAGGCAACACCGGGTCCTCAGTGTACTGGGCGCGCAGGTCTGTCGAAGCCATGCCCAAGTAGTGCCAGACATGCATCTCCTTGCCCAAGTCAACCGCAACCTGCTCGGGGTTCTTGCACACGTCCTTCTCGCACGTGTGGAACTCGGCCCACTTGAAGCCGTCGATGAAGACGTCATCGGCGCGCGGACGCTCCTCGCCCATGCGGCGCGTGGCGTGGATCTCGGCCTTGGCTTTTGTGGACGTCGGCATCGGCAGGGCATTGCGCGATGCCTTGGGCAGCCTGAACTCGGACGGGTCGGGCAGCAACAGCCACTTCCACCCCACCTCGACTCGGTCGCTATCCTGAGTTAGTCCTCTGCTCTTTCTATTGCCGTGAGTCGAGTTGTCGTACCCGTGTGGAACGATGTCCAGAAGTAGTGTCTCTTCGTCGTGTCTGTTTTCGACCACTACTCCGGCGAAAATATCCCCACGGTAGTATTGAACTTGGCATATCGCGCCCTTCTCAAGGGCCGCCGCGCTCTCTCGGACGCGCGCGTTGCTCTCGAGCGCGTATCCGTCCAGCTTCTTGTCTCGCTTGACGCGGTGAAATCGACAGCTGAACTCGAAGGCCTGCTCCTTGTATTCAGTACCATCCTCACCAAAAATGGGCACCTCAGCCTCCTCGACAAAGACGCCGGCTGCCGCGGCGCACGTGCCGTGGTACGACCTCGGGCACTTCTTCTGAGAGCACTGGAAGCACGCGCCCCTCTTGGAGCGGCAGTACAAGCACTTGAGTTCCAGGCGCGCCTTGCTGATGTTGGCCACGTTGGCCACCGTGTCCTGGCCATCCACAGTCTCGATGTACGGTTCGGGAAGATAAAGCGCACAAAGACGGTGGGCTTTGCGTCCATCGTCCGTCGGCAGAATCTCGGAGCCCGGGATGTTGTTCGGGCACAGACAGCACGGGGGTTCCACATGCGACTTGATGCGGAGCCGAATCTTCTTGACCTTGGGCCGGCCCTCGATGTCATCACCGGTTCGCTTCCTTTTGCGGCCCGGGGCCCTGACCCGTACAACAATACCCGAAGGAGGAGTGGGCAGGCCGGCCATGGCCACATCGTTGTCTTCATCTTCGTCGTCATCGTCATACTCGTCCTCCGTCTCCTCGTACTCGGTGCTCTCTCCGCGGAGCTTCCGCTCAATCTCGTACACGTCAACCCAGACGCTGTCCTGGGCCTGCGCGCATTCGCACTTCTTGGCGATCTTTCCCATTGGAAGCCAGGTGTCCAAGGCAAAATTGACAGCCTCTGCGCAGTTGTAGCCGAGATTGTAGCCCGAGTGGTACCCGTATGGATACGTGACCACGAACTCGCCAGGGTAGGAGACGCACTTGTTCACCTTGATGTTGTAGTGCTGCTGCAGGTGAGCAGGGGAGATCAAGAAGGCCTTGTGGCGCAGAAATTGGTCGCAGGCCTTGGCATCGGTAGGCCAGATGCTCCTCATCGCCGCCTCGAACCGGCGCGCATCGCCTTGGGAGATGCTGTACCACTGCTTCGGGGCGCCGAAGTGGAGGTAGTTGATGCTGTAGAGGTCAACGTCCTCCAGGTGCCAGGCGAACGTGGCCTTCCACATGCCCAAGTAGAGGTAGGCAGTGTTGACTCCAGGAACCTTTGTCCCAAGGATATCCAGCAGGTTCGGCAGCTTGTTGAGGTTCCAAAGATCGGTCGATTCGTGGAACAGTGTACCAGGCAGATCAGCACCGTAGAGCGGCTGCGCAAAGGTGAGAGTCTTCCAATACGTGCGCTCCAGTTCCTCGCAACGCTCCGGCGTGTAGTCCGAAATGTCCATGTGGTAGTCCCAGTCTTTGAATGCGGCCTCGTCAATGACGGCCGAGCCCTCGCGCCTGACGTACTTGCGACGGGCCGAAGTGGATTGGATCTGGGGCTTGGCCTGTCTGACGCCTCCCATGCGGCGAGGCACATTGGACAAGACCTCATCGTCCTCATCCTCCTCAATCTTAATTCCCGGCTCGGTCTCGATGGTATCGGCAACTGAGTCCTCCTCGGCATTGGGGGACTCGGGCGTCATTGGCCGCGGCTCCGGCTCGGCGGTGGACTCGTTCCTGGAGCTAGCAACGCTCCTCCCTCGACCGCGACCCCGGCGGCCGGCCCTGCGGCCGCGGGTAGGCTGCGCGGAAGACGTCGACGTCGTCGTCGTCGCCGCCGTCGCGGACTTAGTCTTGGGCTTGGGCTTGGGCTTGGGCTTATCGGCGTTTGCACGACGCTCACCCCTGCGCGCAGGAGGCTGGTGCTCACTCTGGTCACAGAGCTGTCTCCATTGGGGAAGGTTGTAGGAACGCTGGTGCAGAATGTTGACTTGACGGTAGGTCCCATTGGATCCCATGATGTCTTGTTTGATGGGTTCTCGCACTCGAATAGTCTTAACAAGATCATCAATCGGGGGCAGCGAATCTTTCCACTCCTGAGGGGGGATGATCTTGATAATTCCAGACTTCATGCCATAGGAATCGACTTCTGCCATCTGCGAGCATAGCGACAGGGTAGTTAGCATGTGCTTTATCGGAGCGCCGAGGCTCAGTGCAGCTCAATGTGTGAGCGAAGGTGAGAAGTGCCACGTCTGGGTTTTCACTTCAGGCTAGGCTCTAACGACTGATTTCCGGGCCGAAGGTTGGCACTACATACAAAGCGCTTAAAGTCCCGGAACTGTACCATGGTCGGACGGAAGACAGGAACGGTGCCGGACCATTCGGCCGGGAGGACTGGGCCGATGTCATCGTCTTCAGGGTTGGGCTGAGGCTCAGCCGGGGCATCAGCCTCGGGCGCATGGGGTGGGGGGATAGGTGCATCGTCTGGCTGGAGGTCGGCAAGGGTGTCATCGAGGTCGCTGAGCTCCGAGTCGCTGCCGTCGAGCTTCATGGCATTGTTGCTGTCGGGCGGCGAGTGGAGGCCGGTGGGCTTCGCAGCGGCCGGGGCGACGACGGCGATTGTGTCGGCCGACGGGACGTGGTCGGCGTCTTCGCTGGACATGATCGCGGCGAGCAAGGTGGTAGTTCGGGGTGCTCACAGGCGACCAATGCCCGACGCAGGGGGGCCGGGATTTGGATGGGCGGCGCGACTCCCTCCAGGCCGACGGTGGTGGGCGAGGCTGTTATTTTGGTCGGCGTCTCAACTGGCTCGGGCGCGAAAATCACGCAGGAAGGGAAGGCTGGGCTGGGCAGAGGCAAGCGCTGGCTGCTCGAGAGCAACGCAGGCAGCTCTGTCGGGGCGTCGATTTGGGTTTGACAAGCGCAGGTAAGCTCGGGGAGGGTTTGGTGTGGTGTGGTTTGTCACAGAGGCAGCCCTGTGCAATGCAGTGATGCGATTGATGAATGGGCTGGCCTGTGCTGCTCAGTGGTGCCTGCCCGTGGTGGCAGCTTTGCTTGCTGGGAAAGGTCAACTGCGGTGGTGGTGGTATGTGCGTCGCCTTGGTGTGTGTGCCTTCCCCAAATGCTCTGCTCCGTCGCTAACGCAGCCCAGCCAGGGTGCACGCAAAGCAGTGGGTCGATTCCTGTGCAATCTGAGCTGAGGGGACGAGTTGGAGAGCTGCTGCTGGGTCTGCCTGCGAGGTCCAAATCCAGTCGCAGCCCACGATTTGACGGGATTAATGGAGAAGGCAAGCAGCAGCAAAAGCGACGAGAGCGCACACAACACAGGAGCGACTGCAGCAGCTAACCAAGCGCAGGGCACATCCTGCACCTAGCACGCACACAGTCGCCGATTCGCGCACTGTCGCAAAACCTGGCCAGCCCGCAGGTTTCCGCTTTGGAGGCCAGCCGAATCTTAGTCCCTCGCAAAGTGGATGCCCAGTGTATCAACTGCGAAGGCTGAACCGGACCGGGGATGGCGCCAACGATGGTCTGTTATGGCTACTGTCCCTGAGATGGAGGCCGTCTTTCCTCGCGGAGAGGGAACAGCGTCCTGGCAATGGCTCTAAAGGGATGTGTCCGGGCAATGTGCAATGGGCAATGGGGCGTGCAAATTCAACATTGCACACACCTTCCTATCTCCATTTTGGGCGCGAAAAAATATTTTCTTTGGTTTTCATGACCACGCAGTTTTGCACTCCAGGCCACCCCTGACATAAAATTGTGATTTTGTGCCAATGTTCAATTTCCTTCCTTTTCTCCATTCCCCTTCTCCTTTTGCCTTCTCCACAAGTGACATCCCCGACACGATCGAGGCTTGCAGCGAACTCCATGGAAGCGCCAGGAGCCTCCGTCGCCATGTACGGGATGTTTGGCCTGGGGATGCCCGAGATACAGAGACACACCTGCCCCTTTTCCGTCGTTCGCCTGCCTGGGCCGTTAGATAAATGGGCGCGGCGTCGGCGACGGCACCCTTGATGTACATTTGCCACACAAAGCCGCAGGGAATGTACGCCAGATTTTTCCCAAAGAGACGGTGGTTGGTGGCCGGGGGGATCGTCTGCCCTGGTCAAAACGGGACGGGAGCCTGCCCTCTGGCGCAACCAATGCCTGGGTGCCTGGCTGCCCGTGTAGCGCGAAAGAGTGCATGTTGATGTCGAGAGGCGCCTCGCTCTGCGTAGTGGACCCGCTTGCCTGCTCCCCACGTCGTCATATCACGGCGCATGGATGCTCACCGCCCCCGATCACACACACACTCGCACACACACCCACCCTCCCACTCTTCCTCCCCACCACGGGAGGTGGATGGGCTCGGAAACGAGGGGTCCAGCCCAGTGCGCCTGCCGTGAGCGCATCGCCGAGGGAGCATATTTTCTCTTCTCCCTCCCAAATGCCGCAGGTGAGACTCCGAATGGAAGGCAGCCCGCCCATGTTTCAAAAATTATGGAGTTGCATGGCCTCCTTTTCCGTCAGCAAATACCAGTTGCTTTGCCCAAAATCAGCCCGGGCGAGCTGGGGCAGGCTGGGAGTGCGGGAGCTGCCTCGGGAGGTCGGTAGCCTCGGGCAGGCTGCGGGCCATGGTTGCTCCTATCACGGAGCATCTCCGGCAGATTTGGGCGACAACCACGAGCAGCAGCTGGGTAGCCGCACCACACACCATGCATCCAGATACCCATCCTTCTTTGCACAGCATGCCAGCAACCGCTGGTGTCTGTCGCCCAAGGTTCCACGGATCATGAGATCCAGATCCGACGTCAACGAGTAGGGGCTGGGAACTCTAGAAGAGTAGCGGGCAACAATAAGAAGCAAAGTAATCGAGCAAGGTAGGGGGGAAACGGTCTGTCTCGTGTCTGCCCGCCTGCACATCACCACTAGTGTCGCCATCGATCGGGGGGGTTTGTTGGAGGGGTCGACACTCACTCCCTCGCGATTGTTGCTTTTGCTAGGCCCGACAATGGCCGCCGCAAATATCTTTTTCTTCTCTCGGATTTCTTTTCCCTTCTCTTCTCCCGTTCTTCCCATCTCCTATTCGACACGGTTGGCATTGCAGCTGCAGCGTTGTGTTGTTGCTCAATATTCCGTCTAGTTGCCCCTCCATCCCCCCCTCCTTTCCTGTTCGCTGTCGCTGCGCAATATCAAAAATTTTCTCTGCTGCGTCTCGTGAGCACCAATGACAGGCCTGTCGTGGCTGTCAGGTTCTTCGTTTTTCCACCCTCGGGCCAGACCCAGCCCAAGGTGCAGCTGCAGTGCCGACTCGAACCGCGTCGACCCTTGGCCCAAGGACCCAGGCCGTGCGGGTGGGGCGTGGCCGTGGGCGGGTCTGGGGACTCCACCACATGTACAAAGCAACAGCAGGGCCTGCTTCCAACTCTTGGTCGGAGCCAATGCACGCCACGGCGGCCTGCGTCCTGCCTGAGGCGGCCTGAGGCATTTGGCGCCCGATCTGAGTCACGGCATCTGGAGTTGGTGTGCGTCGGGCGTCGCTGGCCATGTTCAGGCTAAAGTCCCCTGTCTGGGCGAGGACATGGAAGCCTCAACATGGCTGCGCTGCACGTCACTAGCACGTGCCAAGTATAGCCCCGAGGTGACGAAGCAGGAGCCCCAGCCTCGACGTCTGTGCTCAGGATTTTGCTCGTCGGAAATGCGACGCGGCTGAGCTTATCGTCGGTTGGCTCCGTCTTTGATGCGCCGACGAACCACCAACCCTATTAGTACCTCGGTAACTCACTGTGCCAGGTCAAGCCAAAGGATGGATCGGATGCGAGGCCTCTTCTCGCACCCATCAATCTCCAGCCCATCACCCCGTCTTGTCCTCTCCAGTTTCTGAATCACGCTTATCATCAAGCGAAGGGCGATGGGCCAGCGCGCAATGCAGTGACGCAGGTAGAAAAGTGTCCACCTTCCTCAAACGTCCGAGCCTGGGCGCCGGGCCGGCTACAGGGGTCCTGGACCGCACGGGACTTTTCGAGGGGACCTTTCGGCCGGAGGAGATGGTGTGTCACCTCATTCCGCTCGGAGGCCTTTTGCGTGCGAGGGCCGCTTCGGACCGTTGCGCATCGTGATTTTGTTATATCTTGCCTTGGCTATGCGGTGACCACGATCTTCAGAAGATGAAGGGACAACCCCTGCATTTCCTTTGCGATCGTCCTCAAAACCGGGATCGCGCATTGCGACGATTCTAGATATGCACTGACAACACCCCCATTCCTCCTCAACATCACTTATAATCCGTATAGTGTATATGATTCCATGTTATGTCGCCGTTGGAGAAGGATGCATTTATCCCGTGGGAATACCCTTCAAGGTGCTCTGTCCGCCTAACCCTAGGCGCCAAGCGCTTGCACTTAGGGAGCTCGAAAGCTACCTGCGCGATAAGAGCCATAATCCACACCCCAGTCGGGCACAGAGCTTCATAGAGACGTGAAGCTAGTCTCCTAAGCTGGGCAAGTTGCTCAAGCAGGGGTTTGCACTGGTTCATAAGGTAAAAGGAAAATACCAACAGGAACCAGAACAGGAAACAGGAATAAAAACAAGTGAGTAAATAGGGCAGGAAAGAGGACAGGACACTGGAGAGGAAATAAAACAGGAAATATAATAAGGAAACATGACAGGACAACAAGACAGGAAATAGGCGCATAAGACATATTGGCGACGTCAGAAGCGGAGATAGCCTCAAATTACAGGTTATTGAGTATTCATCATTAATCTGACCATCAGGCCCCTAGTAGAACAAATTCCGGGCGCTCCAGTTGGTAAATCGGCGGAATTGCCCCCAGATCTTATACTGAATGAACGAGGCCATTCACAATTCACCGCGTGCTTCTCCGCAATATCATCACCTCCTTCCTCCCTTCTGCGTCCCAGCTTTCCTCCAAGCCACGTAACAGCCTTTCTCCTTCTGACCACGTTTTCGGCTTCACGCGGCGCGCTTCCACCACATGACCGACCCCAATATATCTCGTGGGTTTATGGGGGAGTGTTACAGCACACCCGAGGCAAGAGAGGAATTGCGCTTCATGGCATCCGCACTGCGACACCGTATCGCCATGCAGCGGATGTCCAGGCGGTTGATGGACAGGGAGCGGATGGTCGCGCAAAGCCGCCGACAAGCTCCTGTCGTGCAGATTCCCGTAAAGCACGAGCCACAAGAACCCAAAGGCTCGAGGGAATCAACCATCTCCCGGCTGGAGAAACTGCCGGCGGAACTGAAGACGGAAATCTGCTCGTATCTGGACTATAAATCTGTCCTGAATGTTTCGATGACGAGCAGGCGACTGTAAGTACCACTTCGGTTCATTCCGACCGCTCCCTCACGTCGAGCTCATCTGACACAGACCGCCGCCGCCGCCACGACAGCCACTACGACATCGGCCCAGCACGGTGCACCTACAACGTCAAGACCGAGTTCCTCCTCCGCGCCCAGGAATTCAGAAAGCACAGGCCTACAGGGGTGTACGAGTATAAGGACAGACAAAAGAAGCCCGGCGAGGTCCTGCGCCGGCTGGTCATGACACCCTCGGGGAGGTATGGGAACCTGGCGTGTTTCCGCTGCAACGTGGTCTTGGCGGCCGAGGAGTTTTCCCGGCACCAGCGCAGCAGGTCGAGGCTCTCCCGGTTCTGCTTGAAATGCGGCCGCGCCGCCTCCCTCAAGAACCTAGCGCTCGGCCCGGAGATGAAGCGGCGCTCTAGGGCTTCTGGAGAGGCCACGGGCGCCAGCGAGTAGACTGGGTGTGGCTCCTAGCAGCGAAGGTCACTCGGCAGTTGGGGGAAACAAGGGGGCTACAGGGATTGGAGGACGTCGGGGGAGGCGTTGACATTGCGATGATCTTTGGAGTTTAAGCGGGGACATATCGTCGACCTGATAGCAGATGCGGTGCACATATTTCTGGAGTTTTGAGCGGTGGTACTTCTTCTTTCCCATTTTAGCAGGATCATTTAAAAGTAACTTGCGAGGTAGTAATACGATTTCAACCCACATTCGAATGGGGAATCCGGACATTCGAACAGCTCCTCGCTTGGCAAAGATAATGGGGAATGGACAAGGCTACAGAAGCACGCCCGCCATAAAAACGATGGCAGTCTCATCTAAACAATAGAAACGCTGCTAGTGATTTCAGGACAGGTCCCAGGGAAGTAGGAAGCAAAAGAGGAAAAAAGATAAGAATGAAAACAAGAAGAAAATAGGAATGGCAGTAGGAAAAGACGCAATAACGAAATCAGAGGAAAACCAGGAATGACAATAGGAATGATAACAGGAAGGAAGATAAGGGCAGGAAAGCTTACGGCGCTAGCAATTCTACTCAATCCTTGGGACCTGTCAGACTGCCATCTTGTTTGTGGTGGGCATGAAAAGGACAAATTTAGGTGAGTCGATGCAACGGAAAGGAATTCGAGGTTGAGATGCCATATTTTACAAAGCGTCGTTTCGGGGTCTCAGGGCAACAACAGATGTCGAAACACGGTCCAATAATGGGGGCGGATATGGTACTGTAGCGTTGAGAGGTCGCAACGGCGCAACTGCAGAGCCCCTTCATCGGTGCCGCTATCGCTTTATAATCCCAACAGAGGCGATTCCTTCCTGTCGTGTTGTCGCGTTTTATTGACCCCTGTCGCGTCACGCGGGTATCGGCTCGGTGGTAGCCCTAAGGTACCTGGGTGCCTGGCTGCATCCCTTGGGTTGTGGAGGGTCCGCGTCTTGTTTCAAAAGAGCCGCGCTAATGGACAGCTGGGCCACACACAAGACGCAACCTCGCACAGCCCCCAGCCTGTGGAGGGCTAGTGAGGCTGGAGGGAGCTCCCGGATTGGTCGGCGGGGGCTTGTTTGCGTCATAATTGGATAAGCAACCCGGAACATCTACCGGCCTATCACGGCGTGATTCGGCCAGGCTCGAATCTAAGAGCACTGGGCTAGGAGGCGGACCCACCAATGAATGTTTTGGGAGCCTTCTCAAGTTATCAAATGGCGTCAACTCTTGTCTCATATCTGCCATAATGTACCACAAGCATCGCCGTCATTTTCTCCTCGGCCCTTTTTCTAGCCGCCACGCATCCAGAAGACGGACAAGAAAACCCCCGGCTAGCGGCACTGCTTCGCGACGAAGAAGCGGGCCCACAAAAGGCACGACTCGCCCAGCGCCAAAGTCAGGTGGCAAAAGCGTCCAAGATGGGATGCTGGGGTGGGCTTGTCATGAATGCTTCAGGGCCGTTGGCGTGTTGAGCTTATTGGCCCGCGCAGGCCTTGGTTGACGTACTCCACTCCCCGTCGGCAGTGCGTCGATGGATCTGCTGCATGGATGCGGAAAGAAGGAAAGGAAAAAAACAAAGCACGGAGGAAAAAAAAAAGGGCAAGGAACAAGCAAGAAGGGGGGCAACGTTGCGCTACGTGTGGTGGTGTGTCAAAAGGGGCTCGAGGGAACGCTGCCGACACAGACACCCGCGCGACGGCCCTATTGCCCTATTGGATGCCCTATTGGATCACGCGGCTTCACCATTTCTTCTCGGAGCGGTTCATCTGATATGCGAATCCCGACGCTTGCTTGGAGAACGGCGCATTTCCGTCCGAAGCACGACCCCTGTGGCTCCTCCGGGAATAAAGCACACCATATCAGGTCGTATTTGTGCTCTCAGACAAACGGTGTCTGTTGGTGTCGGCTCGACTCGCCCGCCATCGCGCTGCTGCCGTGAAGTCTGATCTGTGCTCGCCAGGCCCCCCCTACTGTGTATATCGATCGACGGGGTATTAATAGAACCAACAAGAGGTCGCTTCGACACACGCCGTGGGGCCCTGCTCGGGCGGGCCCCTGCCCTGCACAGCGCAGCCCCCCGCCAGTGGCAGGCTCAGGAAGGGCCGCTGTGGCAAGCAATGTGGAGAGCACCTCGCACCGGCCGATGGGAATGGGTAAAACTGCCACCCGCGCTGGCCCTGTCATCACCGGGCAGGGGGTTTTGTTTCATGGTTCAGGCCACATCCGCGGCGGTGCTGGGTGCTCAATCGCCCCTGGATCATGGCTACCCCCGAGACAATTTAATTGATACACCAAAAGGAAGCATGTTATTTACAAAGCAGTTTCCCAGCGAAAAGCCAATTTAGAAATTCACAAAATATCAAGTACCAAATACATAAGCAATAGTTTTAAATAGCATTTTTCTTTAAATTTTTATAATTTTCCTGAAGTTTATACATTTGATTGTTTTTTGCTTGCCGGAGGCTGTTGAGTCGATGTATCAGTTAAATTATCTTGGAGGTGATGGCTTCCCCTCCACTACAGGCGCGTTCTTGTTCGCATTGAAACGAGTGCGGGTAGCCTGCCATGGGTGCCCGGTCCGCCTCCAGTCAAGGAGCTTGATACTTGGGCAGGTATATACCCGCCTTTCTGGAATCACGATGGCAGCAGGAATCTGCTGGGAGTTCCTCTGCCCAAGTCAATATTCAATTTGACCCAGACAACTTCTTTTTTGATACCGAGTTGGCGGTATCACTTCTCCTTTCACTTCTTAATCTTTTCTTTCTCTGCTTCTTATGGCTGGGCCAGTGGCCGTTTTCTTATCCCCTTGAACAACCTGACCAGCATCTGTTGCAGGCGCCAGCAGATCGGAAAATAACACAGGATTGGAAGCACACTTGGACGACAACTGAGCATTGGGGCTGTTGTATTTTTGACCGTTTACTCGGTTTTCATTCATTCTCAACTGGATCTAGCTTTACAAAATGGCAGTCGAGTCAAGGGGCTCGACGAGCTCGAGGCTCGGCCGCAGCCTCATGGCGGTGCCGTTTTTTCTCCTTCTTGGCACCATCGTTATACTGATGCGGAACGGCGGGGAAACCGATGTGTTGGGTCAGATATCAAGAAGGGTAGGCAGCGATGACCGGACCGGGGTGGTCAACGATTTCGGCCCCTGGCGGGAGACGATCGAGACCTTCATATCGCCCGAGACGGCCGATGCGATCGAGCGTGATCGTCAGCTCCGCCGCAGTGTTGGTGCCGCTGTCGACTTCACCCGCGGCCTGACCAAAGATCTCGCCGAGCGCTTCGAATTGCCCTCCCTGATGGAAGCCTCGGACAGCCTCGCACTGGTCAGGAAGAACCTTGAGGGCGGCGGCACCAGGGGCACACCGACGACTCCCGGCTCCCCGTCACTCAGCAAGCGCCAACAGCTCTTCCCTAGCGTTTCGGGCCTGCCAGGAATCCCGGGGATCACAGCGCCACTATTCGGGGGTTCCACAAAACCTGATGCGACAAGGGATGCGAATGCACCCGCGACATCAACGGAAGCATCAGGCGGCGGCCTGCTCGCGGGCCTGGGCAACAAGGCGCTTGACGCCATCCTGTCACCGCTCAAGGATGCCGTGAGCGGTATCACCAGTAACCTGGCCGGCGCCGGCATGTTTTTGGGTATCGGTATCGGCGCCGGCGCAGCGCAGGGCCTCAACCTGTCGTCTGCTGACTCGATCAACAAACTCGCCGCCAAGATTGCCGCCGACAACGGCCATAAAGCCACGGGGCTAAACCCCACCATCCAGAGCCTGGGCCAGGGCGCATCGGCTGCCATCATCGGGGCCCTCAACGTCACGGGTGGCGGCGGAGGCGGCGGCGCCCTGAAATCTTTCAACATCACGTCGCTGCTTGGCGGCGAGGCGCTGTCTAGCGTCGCTCTCAAGTTTGCCGATGGCCTCGGCTCTGGCGCCGCGTCCGGGCTCAAGCTAGGGGGCAACAACACACAGGTGGCAGCGCCGCCATCCGGATCCAAGGCCAGTGATGTGGCGGGCGCCTTCGCCTTTGGCCTGACAAACTCGCTCACCCGGAGCGTGGATCTTTCGGGCGGGCTGTCTGGTATAACTGGCGGCAAGGGGCTGGATCTATCGGCGGTGGGAAATATATTCCCAGGTATCAACCTGGGCAGCGTAGCCCAGGGTTTCGCCAGGGGGTTTCTCCAAGGTGCGAGCGACTCGATCGAAGCCATGGGTGGCATCAAGTCTCTCATGAACGGGACGGCGCGCATCCCGACCACGGTGCCCAACGGCACCATCGGCTTCAACGACACAGTGGGCGGCGCCTCGAGCGGCTTCGGCCAGGGCCTCGGAGGCCAGGGTGTCCTGGTCGCGACGCAGCTTGTCGCCGAGGCCTTCCCCAACGTCGTCAGTACCAAAAGTTCCAACCAGGCTGGCGGCAAGGTGACAAGCCGTTCTCTCGACGTTGTCCTGCCGCGCCAGCTGGGTGGGGGCGGCGGCAACAACGGCCAGGGGGTCACGATCGGGTTCGGCCCGTCGCTGAACCTGTCGGCCATCATCAACGCGGCGACCGTCTCGAGCGGGCTACAGACGATCGTGGATCTGCTGCGCTGCGAAGGTATCAGCGGCTTTTTCCTGATCCTCTCGGGCCTGAAAAAGAGCGGCACCCTGCCGAATAAGTCGGGGGACATAAACACCACGCTGGGGCCAAACGTCACGGCCACCATCCGCGACATTATACCCAACGGCACCATTTCCTTTGTGAGTAGCGGCAACAGGTTCGAGATTGAGGGCCAGCTCCTCCTCAACGCGCTCGTGGGCTCCATATCCGAGGCTGCCGACGGTATCAAGATCAATGGCAACAAGCTTGTCACCTTTGCCGCCCTGCTGATCGTCCATAGTAAGACATCCCCTCCCCGCTCCCTCACCCTCCTGGCCCCTCTGGCCCTCGACACTGACGGAAGAAAAAAACAATGTACAGTCCTTATCGCGGTCCTCGTTTTCGTCGCGGTGCTCCCCCTGGCCATGGGCCTCGAGGGCGCGCGCAGCATCCTCTCCCGGGCGCAGCTGCCGCAGGCGCTGCCGCGGCGAACCCCGCGCTGGGTCGGGATCCTGTGGCTGTTCGTCACGGTGCCCTCGCTCGTCCTCATCGTGGTCTTTGGCGCCCTCGTCACCGGCGACAAGCCCGGCGGCCACTTCCGCACGACGCACTCCATCGTCGGCCTGATCGCCGTCATCCTGGGCATCCCGGCCACGGCGCTCTACTACGCCGACTCGCGGCTACCGGACCTCAAGGCGCGCATCACGCGTGCGCTGGGCGGCGGCGGCGGCGGCGACCAGGCAAAGGCAGAGGCGCGCTTCATCCTGCTGCGCGCGCTGTCGAACCAGGTCTTCCAGACGCTCGGCACCTCGGCCGTCCTCACCGGCTTCGCCGACCTGGCCGCCGTCTCGCTGTGTCTGACCACCGTCATCGTGTCCTTCGAAGCCGCCATCGCCGTCGGCTTCGCCATCGCGAGCGTCTCCAACGTCGGCCAGCTGATCGCCTGGCTCGACTTCTACATCGCCTGGCGCGTCTCGCGTAGCGGGACAAAGAACCAAGGCGGCGGTGGCAAGGTCTCGCCTTCCTCCGGGTCCGGCACCGACAGTTACGGCCGCGGCCGCGGCCCTCCGAGGGGACCCATCCGTGAGATGAGGAGGCTTTACAGCGAAAAGGTGTAGAGCATGTGTGTCTAGCTGTATTACCACTCATCTTGTATTCCTTTTTTTTTTCTGTTTTCTTTTTTCACCACTTTTTGTTGCTGTGCTGCGTGCTCCCTGTCTAGGGCAGCCGGCCTGCACTCAGGAAACGCGCTCAAGATTATCAAGCCCCCTCCCTTTTATATTCATATGTACCATCTTCTCACCCAACCCCCTGTATGTTTTATTGTTTACTTGTCTATACCTCGGTAGCTATATACCTAGTCAAATTAGCCTTTCTTTTCCTTGTTCGAACAAAATAAACCCCCTCTTCGCCTTTGAGTGAGCATAAATGCATCTCGGACTTCGTCACACGGCCGAGAGGCCAGAGCATACCATCCCTTCTGGCCGGGCACGCATGAAGGGGGGGGGGGGGGGGGGGG